CCAACTCGCCTATTCCATTTCGGGTTCCACTCGAGTGATGGCTTGTCTAGTGATGTCACTTGATGGTTCGTTTCCTCAGCGTATGGCCAATCCATCTCCATTTCTTCCTACTTATTTGTTTCACAATCGGTTCCTGCTGGGTTGGTTCGCTCATTACCAGAGATCCCTATTGCTGATCTTTTCTGGCCATCTGATCTTGAGTATTGAGCGGAGACAACTGTTAATGAAGGTGTGGAGTTTGTTGGAGATGCTCTCTATGACGCGCAGTGCAACTCTCTGATCCGTATAATAGCACTGACTGAATTCACATTGGAGTTGAAAATTCGGATCTTACTTTTGATGCTGAGTGCTGTTGATCTCCACACAGACTTGAGAGCAATGAAAGCTTGTCTTGCTTTTCCGATTCTGGCTTTGATATCCTCGTCAGTTCCGCCTGTAGTTGAGACGATGCTTCCTAGGTCGGTTGGTGAAGGAGGTTGTTTCTTTCAGGTTCCTCCCATTTATGCTGGCTGATTGTTGTCTGTTGTTGTTGCTGCTGGTGTTGGCCGAGAATCTTCATCAACTCCGTTTTATCTACGTTCACTCGAAGTCCTAGCTTCTCTGGATGCTTCCTTGCCAACTTGTCGCAACTTTTCACTTGCATATCTTCCAGTTTGTGGGAAATCAGACACATACATGTCATCGGCGAAGTCCAGATCCTCCAAGTTTTTTGTGTGAGTACATTTTATGCCTGTTTCCTCATTGCGCGCTGTTTGTCGCATTTTCCAATCTACTGCAATCATTGGCGATAGTAGACAGCCTTGCCTCACTCCCGTCCTCACTTCGAAGGCTTCCATAAGTTTCTCGTTGTGGATTACTTGGCATGCAGCATTGTTGTACAACTGTTGGATGAGATGTGTAATTGTCAGCGGCACCCCGTAGTAGCGAAGTAGTTGCCAAATGATCTCTCGATCGACGCTGCACTATCGAAGGCCTTTTCAAAGTCGATGGAGTTGAGATAGAGAGGTGATCGCCATTCTAAGCTTTGTTCAATGATGATCCGTAGTGTGGCTATTTGATCGAAACATGACTTGTTTCTCCTGAATCCAGCTTGTTCCGGCCGAAGTTTTTCATCCAAGGCTTGTTTGATTCTCTCCAGGATGATGCGGCTTAGTATTTTGCTTGGCATGGACAGGAGAATAATGCCAGTTCTTGCATTGACTTAAGTCTCCTTTCTTTGGTAGTTTGAATAAGTATCCGTTCTTCCAATCCTCGGGTACTTTGCCCTCTTTCCACACCTTCTCCAGCAATGGCGTCATGAAGTCCGCTGTTGTCTTTGGGTCCATTTTCAATGCTTCTGCTGGGATTCTACCTGGTCCTGCTGCTTTTCCAGCTTTTAACATCTTGATTGCATTCAGGACTTCTGATTTCGTCGGGGGGTCGATGTTCACTGGTAGTTCTGCTTCCGTTGTTGGTATTGTTGGGCACGTTGTAGGTGGCGGTCGATTTAGAAGTCTTTTGAAGTGTTCAGCCCAGTGTTTTTTTTGCTTCACCTCTTCGGTGATTGACTTTCCATTGTCATCCTTTACTGGCTTAATCTATGTCGAACGTTTGCACAATAGGTGCTGTGTTGTTTGGTAGAGTGTGGCAAGGACTCCTTTGCCTGCAGCTCGTTCTGCTTCACTTCCCATGGTTTCATAATAGTTTCTTCTGTCTTCCCTGGCACTCTTCTTCACTCTTTTGTTCAGTTTATTGAAGCTTGCATAACCAATAATAGCTCATGATGAAATCCTCCAACCAATCAATCAAATCCCTATAAACCAATACTTGAATATCAATGAGATGCTCACTAGTGACTGGCCCTATTCAGATAAGTAGTTACCTGGCTTTTAGTGAGAAGTCCTGACCAGTGGGGTGCAACAAGTCAGGTGTGAGTTCGTATACTCGCCGATGACATTAGCTAATGGTCATTTTGTATCCTGAAGTGAAAGAAGTTAGGATTCATGGGCTCTGGATCAGGTCACAGTGGCTTAATGGTCTATGATCTCGGTTTGTAACCAGAACGTCTTGAGTTCGAGCCCTGGAGGAGGGTGAGTACTGATGAAGAGTCTTAAACTAAGACGAAATGGCTATCCAATGCTCCAATGCTCTCCAATGGTTCCTTAATCGATTCCAGATAATGGTGAAATCCTGTGAGTATAAAAACTCTACCCTACCTCATTCGGCACACATTTTATATGACGGAAAAATGTAAGGAAGTGCATAAATAACTTACTGTGAAACATTAAGTAAACGGTCCTCATTTGTTTCGTTCATTATTATACTGCTGTTAATATTTTCACTTAAATTCAATATTCTATTTATATGCTTACTGAACAATATTATCAATATAAATACCATGTTTTAATTATTTCTACTGTAATGCGAAAATTAGATGCAATACTGCACAACATGCTTAAAATTCCGCATTTGTACAAAAAGTACTGTTTGGAATAAAGTTATTATTATTATTTCAAAAACTATATTGAATTAAATAAATAAAGGTGACACGCGAAATTAGAAACGACAGTCGACATAATAAGAGAAGGATATACAAATTGAATAAACAAAACGAAATATAAGTAGGGCTGAAGTGTGAGTGGTAATTATCATACTTTAGCATAAATAGACTAAAACCATGAGAATCGGAGAAGTTGAACAAACTCCTCTGGTATACAGAGATCTGACTATTCTGTTTCGATGGTCAAAGCTTCAGCAATACAGATGAGTCCGATAAGTAATGATATCGGCAAGTTATTTGTCATCTTGTAGATAGATAACTTTAATAGAAGAGGCTGTAAAAATAAGATGATCAGGATCGACCAAATGTTCAATTATCGCGCTTCTTATAACCCCAATTCCACCTCTTCGTAAACATTCAGAATAGTATTCTGAGACCCTCTGTATCTCCATTGTTATTCTGGCTTATGCGCAATCGCTTACCTCATAAGGCTTCATTATTTTCTTAGATATTCCTCTGACAAGTACATGTAAGTGGTCATATTGTTATAAATGTGTTGTGCAAGTACATTACACGATTCAGATGGACTACGTCTTCTTATTGACTTGTCAAAATTCCTAAAGGGAACTAACTGTTCCAAACAGTAATAATATTAGATAAATCGATAAACAATCGATAATACAAAGAATATAAACTGAATTTCTCCTAACCCCATAATTAGTTTCTCATTGAAAGCAATGTATTTTATGGTTATATTACACGTAACTGTCAGTTAGAACTGTAAGGTCACGAATAACACAGATGATATGAATGTCATAATGTCCGCCTTATCACTGAACATAAATAACCGTGTATAAGGATGTTTGTTATACACAGTTATATACAGTAAGGCACTTCATGGATAAGAAGTTAATTCTAAAGTTTCCATTGTTGTAACGAAACGACTATTTGGAAAATCTCTCCTGGACGATCTAATCACAGTATTTATACTAATTAGAACGTTTCAGTGTCGGTGACACAGCGGTTAAGACGCTCGCCGACCATCCACATGGTCTGGGGTTCGATCCCCAGCCGCCAACGCACTCCTTCACTTCGCTAAACCAGAAATAATGCTGGTAAAGAGGAAGGGTTGGGCATGAGGCTAGCAACAACATCTTGTAAAATTAAACACTGCTACAGAAACTTCAGGCCACTAGCTTGGAGCCCTATGTTCCACTGGGAACGTGAAGGAAAGAAAAAAAAGAACGTTCCAACTAACTCTGTAGTTATTATCCGCTTTTCTCCCAGATTGTATATCATTACTTTGACATTTACATACCACATGTTGAATGGTCCTTATTAATTGCCTTTATTCCTGTTTAATCTGTAATTTTAATGCTTCTCTTTATAGTTGTGTGTATACTGATCGTATGTTTGAGTGTGAATAAAGGTCATTCTGTCCTTGGGCTATCTGCAGGAATTGTCGGTGTGTTTCTTATGGATAAAGGTTTCGACCCCATCTTGTTGGGAACATTCTGTTTGATTCTAAATACTTGTCTTGTTCTTAGAATGCTCTGTTGACTGTCTACATGCCTAATAGCATTGTTGAGATCCACACATAGATTTCAACAACGAATAATCATCTTTTAGCTGTCTCTGAAGTGTTTTGTGGCTATTTGTGTCCCAAAGTGTTGTTGCACATACAGTAGAACTCAGAGATCAGTCAGTCTCTTGAGTTCAAACGAAAACGAGTCAGTTGTAACCGTAAGAATCATGACAGTTAAAAAGCATGATTGCCGCTTCCTTAAAAGAATTAACTGAAAGCACGACTCATACTCGCTATCCCGTGTTTATTAGGTGTTTGTTAATTGACGAGTGCAAACTCTTTAGTCGAACGCTCTTTGGTAAGCGTTCTATTCTCCCAGGGTAACTTTTCCCTTAGTTACACGTGAATTGATGTACCGCTGGAGGTAACACACGAAAGGCGCCAACAAACAATGACATCCAGAGTCCAGAGGCCAGTTTTACTGATGGATATCCCCTGGTAAGTGCTATATTTAAACATTCTCTTATCATTTGCATAACATCATCACCTTTGAAGTTCTATCTCTGTTAAAATTTATAAAGAGGAATTCGTGTAAATGATGCGAAAAAATATACCGTTCAGATACAAAATCAACTATTTCGTATCATAATCAATCAACAAAAATCTATGAGGCCATTACACAATCAGTAATTAACCAATCAGGTAGCAGAACAAATTAGCCAATGAACAGTGACTTTCAATTTTACAAGGTTAAAACACTCGGCAATAAACAAAGAGTGTATATCCAGCATTGAAGTTATCGATGAGAGTGGAATACACTTAGGTACCATGGCAGGCATTCATGAATGGTCAGACATGTTCACTTTTGAAATGTAAACATTTAATAATACAAATGTGTTAGATATAATATACAAACGCACATAATAATAATAGTCTGAATGACTTCTACTTATTATTCTAAACTATAATATAAAATATTCACTTCAATTATCTGAAATGCTGTGGATTAATTTTTGTTCATCCTTAATTGTTGTAAATTTTTACCTGACTAGTTGTGTTAGTTTTGAAAATCAGGTAAAACTTCCTTTTATTCAGTGTTATTTGCCTAATATTTGCTTATTTGTGTTCCCTGACTAAGATAACTTGTATCTCTATGGTTCATAGTGAAAAATATTGATTTGTCAGAACATCTCAATTCCATCCTATTCTCCGCAGTCCTTTTTGTTGTCTTGACGACTTCGGCGGTACATATAATAAAATTGGAATGATACAGAGAAGATTAACATGGCCCCTGCTCAAGGATGACACGCGAAATCGATGACTTTCCGTCAGCTTCCACTTCTTGATTACCTAGTCTCCTCCATTTCACCCTTGGATGACGAACTCATTATTACCCATCCTTGTTACACTAAAGAGCTCGGTGCATGGTGTCACTTGACGGTCTTCTTAGCATATGTTCAATTCAGCTTCATCTCCCTCTGTATACTTACAGAGCAATAGGTTATTAGCTGGCTAGCTGTACTACCAGTGTTTCTTGTCGCTCATTCTTTCCGATCGGCCTTCTGATGTTCAGTATCCAGCCAGATAAGGTATCTATTGATGAAAGTAGGCTGTTGTAAATGCTTTTCATGACTCACAAAATTGTTGGAAATATATGGATGCATTGATTTGGTTGTATCTTTTTCCTTTTGATGAGTACTGAAGATCTCCCGTACTGATTTCAGAGTGATGAACACCTGCATCGCATTCCCACTCCGATGGCGACTAGCTTCGACATCCTGTTCTCTGACGCATATAACTGAAACGATTCTACCAGGCAAGGTCAGTGAAAAAGATGACTTCTTTCAGATGCATCCTGCTCATGTGCGTCGGTGGCCCAGTGGTTAGTACTCTCGCCGACCATGCACATGGTCCGAGGTTCGATCCCCGGCCGACGCATACTTGATATCTATGGACGGCCTGCAAAATTTGGGCTACCGATATCCATACTGAAAATTCCATACTTGTACCAAAAATACAGTGTGGAATCAAGCTGTAATCAAACATAAAAATAAAATTTTAAAAATGTGACTGATGCTTGCAGTTGCTGACTGTGTAACTTCATCACCTCCATGTTCAACTGATGTCGTGTCATCACTGTTTTTTCCTCTAACGTGTTGATTCTCACCTGTAGATCGTCGGGTTTCCGAGATATCAGAAATCAAGCACCCGCGAAATCCGAATTTTCTACAGTCCTCTCATTAGTCCAACTTATGCCTGTCTCCTCATTCCTCATGGTCTGTTGCGTGATCCTTTCCACGACAATCAGGGATATCATCGGTTGCAATAAGTAGCCTTGAAACTCTTCAGTGAGCTTTCCTGTCTTTATACCGGTGGATATTTAAGATCAACTTGGTTACCCTGTGCGTTTATTATTAGTTTCCGTATCTTCGATTTTAAATTCAGGAGTAAGCATCCATAAAGACATTTAGCTATCACTTATCATTCTGCGTGCCATGTAAACCTTATCTTCGACGGACAGTTTTTACAAATCTTCGTGCTGTGGTACTTATGGCCTTCATATAGTGTTTCTTTCTGTTCCTTCACAAAATTGTACTATTTGATTCTTCTGATTTCAAATTTATCTTCTTGATATTTCATATTTCTATAACGATGGACGTATCTTTATTCACTACTGATAAATCTCATATGCAGCACTCACCACGCCACTAGTACAGAAGGTAACCTGGACAAGGCGAAGTACATGCTCTAAAGGCGTTGAAGTTATTCTTGACTTCCGAAGATTTTATTTGTTATTCAATGCATTATCATCAAAAGAAACTTCGAAAAAGAAGATAACGAATTAGAAATTATGTACATATGAGTTAGAATTTCATTCTACAGAATGACTTGTAACAATCTGCTGTGGTTTCACTGCCTCTGCACATTCACACAAACAATTGTTTTAACAGTATTCTGATAATTTGGCTTCTGTTGTTTGCCATGCTTCTCACTAGTTGATAGATCGACTTTATTTCAAAATGTATCAAGATTGGTAACTGAATCCTCCGCCAATTATTCACATCACTTTTCATGAGAATTATCACTCCACTTGACAGGACATTATCAGACTCTAACCTCTTTACTGTGATGTTGTCAAGAGTGAAAATAAGAGGCTTTGCACCCGACTGAATCATTCCAGTGTGCTAAAACATTACTGTCTAAATATAAGCCAGATGCTGATTGACACAAATCAATCGTCAAGGAGCTTCCGATCTAATTTTTTGTGCTGATCTGTATCAGTCACTGAGACGTACACAGAACGGATTTCCACACAAAATTTAAACATGTACTAACCACTACAATGAATATTGTGAAGTTTACTTATAAAATTCCTTTAAATACTAAGGGCAAGAAATAGTGATATTAACTACTATCTAGTGACCGACATTCTAGGATAATTTTATAAGTAAAATCGAAGGACAGCCATATTGGTTATAAAACCACTGCTTCTTTTGACAATGTATACGGACAAATCCTTTTTACTTTTGTGTTACTAGACTAAAGACATTTACCATTCAGTAAGTAGGTAAGTAACAATTCAGCTGTTTATTAATTCTAACATTTGTCATTTATGGTATGGAGACAAACTCATTGATGGAGATGCCACTGTATCACTAGGGCTCGAATTTGGCAGCCACTGAACTCTCCCTTACATAGACAACGGCCATTAGACATATGCTCACTAAATCAGACAGAGAGCATAGGTAAGAAACGATGAATAAACCTCAATCAAGACAATACAAACATCTATAGTTTCCAGACTTCTAATAGCTCTCTAACCTATATACCAGTTTGTGAACAAACCCCTTCTGAAATCTACTGAATCCTTAAAGACCCAGCACTTGAAATACATTTATAACTACTAACTGTATATGATTTTGAAAGACAAAACGTTGATCAGTGATTTACAATATTTTTTGTCCTACCCTAACTGCAACAACTTAATGTATTGAAATTAACATATTATGTTACTTGGTTGGTGATGTTTGCTGTCGGTGGAATCCAGAATATGTACTTCGTCTCCAATACGAATCGTCAGGTGTTTGTATCTGTATCTCAAGCGAGTGGTGATGTTGCCACTGAGACTATAACCGAGGCTTTAGTGTTTGAAATAATCGTTTCTAGATTTGAATATCAGTGGGAGCACCATCATTCGCTAACCATCACCAAACAAATGGGGTAGAAACGAAATTTGATTGACTACTCTTGCTCATTTTAAGTCAGCTGAGAAGCCACTTTAAACTAATTGATGAGTCATTCACCATTATATTGATTAGACACTAAGTAGCAAGTGACTAGTGTTGTGCGTCCAGTCTTTTGTTTGGTGCAAACTGATATCGATCGGTTAATTTTGAAATGTGGCTACCATGCTGGCTAGCTTGCCATCACGGTACTCTGTAAAGTGTATGTAATAGATGGTTGGAAAAGACACGAGTTCCTTCAAGACTGTAGATTTGTCTCGTTAATGAATTAACCAACAAGCACGAAAGGTAGGTCCAAGGCTTCCTGCCGACTGCCTTCAACCATGTAATAAGGATAATTTTTACTCATTGGCCATAAAAAAAAAGTTATAAGTTGATATATAAATGTTTAGATTAATCATAAAATATTTTTAAAACTAATTAACTATTTTTAAAAATTACTGCTCATTATTCTGACATTCTTTCTATATAGATTAGTCAACCTGGTGGACTCTTTGAAATAGATATTCGTTACAGAAACAATGAGGCTCTTCTTGAAAGTGGAGAATTCTGCGACTCAGCAATACAAAGGTGTGATGTTTACATCAAGTTAGAGTTATATGCACTGAGTGGACAAAGCTCAAGGTAGTAATAACTGTAATTAATTTTGTGCTAAAATTTTTTGTAAACTGTTATCATCAGAGTGGGGACTGTATAATTAAATTACTGCATTCTTCACTGAAATGGAGTATTTACTATCCAGTTAAATTTTTGTGAACTCTATTTTCGTCCAAAGACATATACACATCTTTCCGCCATCATACAGCTTAAAAGTAGTTGATTGAACGAGTACCAGATCGTTTTTATTCCTACCTTTGAATATGTCATCCAGTTATTATTACTCCTTTGGGTTATAAATGGAACATAGGGCTTCAATAACACATCTCCTCTTTGTCCTGTTCTCTGTCGTCCTCTTCATCTGCGTCCACGATTGACCATAGTCTCTCATCTTCTCCTCAGGACAAAAATCTTCTCTATGTCACCCTAAGACGACTCATTCATCACTACCCATTAGGATTCCACTAGAGCAATGGCCCGTATTGGGCACGATGTCATTTGATGGTCTCCTCAACGTACATCCCACTGATCCATCTCCACTTTCTCCTACATATTTGCTGAGCGGTAGGCTCTTGATTGATTTGTTCCCACAGTCTCTTGTTGCTTATTCTTTCTGCCCATTTGAACTTCAGTGTGTGGCCAGCGAAGGCAGCTGTTGATAAAATCCTGAAAACTGTTGGAAATCCTTTTTGTGACACGCAGTGCAAGTTTTTGACCCATGAAAGAGGAGCAACTTGACATTTGTATTGAAAATGTGAATCTTGTTCTTTATGCTGAGTTAATGCAGAAGATTTCGAAACTGGTTTCAGGTTTATGAAGGCATATCTTGCATTTCCAATTCTGTCTTAGAAATCTTCATTCGTCCCACCTGTGGTTGAAACGTGCTTCCCAGATAAGCGAAGGAGGAAACCTCTATTAAACTCTCTCCGTTCGATAGTGATTAGTGCTTGTCGTTGTTGTTGCTGCTTATGTCGGTTGGTTAATTGGCTAATTGGTTATCTTCACCCCCTCAGTCCTCTCTATGTTCAGCAAGCGCCCTGTCTTCGCATAATAGGCACATGTAAAATATATAACAAAAGTGACTAAAGTAGAAGGCATAGAAGGGTTCAATTCAGAAAAGGGCAATTATTAACTCTGTCAAATATCTATTACATTTTAACTAAGGTTTTTTCAATAAAAACCTATCATGGATGGAGACTATACAAACCTCCAAAGTGTCTTCCAGTGGTACCCAAATCAGGAACTAACAAAACATTAAGTTGTGGTGGTAGGACGGAAAAGCTTCTTTGTTAACCATGAATTCGTTATTTATGCATGTACTTACATGATAATCTTATTGTAAAGTTTTGATTCGTTTATTTATGACTTTAATTTCTGAGGTTTTCATCGATATAATATACTGTATATTCTGTCTAATAAAGGTTGTCATTCTGCTCGTTGTTCTTCTAGTTTGACTTTTGTATATTTCCCATTGTCGGGAATAAGTTCTAAGTAGTTATTTGGTTATAGTTTCTTGCTCTGGAGGCACATTCCTGCCAACTTAGACGAACCCAGTACTACTCCGTCATAACAGATTTACATGTGGTGTATAAAATGTGTGTAAGACTGCTTAGATGAAGATTACACTATCAGTATTATGATCAGTGTAAACAAAAATGATTTGACTGACTAAACAGATGCTGAGTGTGCGTCGGCGGCACAGCGGTTAGGACGCTCGCCGACCATGCACATGGTCCGGGGTTCGATCCCCGGCCACAGACGCACTCCATTACCTCGCTGAGCAAGAAATAATTCTGATAAAGAGGAAAGGTTGGTCAAGAGGCTAGCAACCCCATCCTGTAAAATAAACAATGCTACAGAAACTTCAAGCCACTAGCTTGAAGCCTTATTTTCCACTGGGGAGCGTGAAGGAAAAAAAGTGTTCATTACGAAAAATTAAAAGTGTATAATCTTATCACAATTTCAAGTCATTTTATAAAAAGTTATCAAATTAAACTAAGCTGACTAAACTTGTACATTTTGTGATTCTATTTGAATGTAAAATTGACGTATCATGATGATATACTCCAAAATGTCATTTACTTCACATTTGGTGGTGTCTTCTTCACTAGTTATCAAGTGTTCACGATTAAACAGTTAAATGTTTGGAATGATCAAAATGCCTGTAAATATTGGAGAGAATCTTATCAACGATTATTGGTCAGATGCTACATTCCTTGACAGTATTCAGCTTAGTGGACCTCATTTGATTTTCCCAGATTTTAGTTGGATCTTCCTGAACCTCACTTTAGTAAAAAAAAAAGAAGTCATTTGAATTCGATACAAACTGAAGAAATTTAGAGAATCCTTTGGTTTCGAAGTGCACATTCTTATCAAGAATCGAAATCAGTTAAAGAACCACTGGAAACTAGGGTATACTGAAAAAAACTGTTCCCGTACAAACCTCACACCTACAGACCATTAACTCCCAGACACATTATTACCGATCATTTTTATGCACTAACCAATCTGGAAATCTTCGTCACTCAGCACCAACAACAAAATTCAGTCAGATTTTCAATACAAACGTAAAGTCAGTCAGTTCTTCTATACGGATGAGAAACTTGGCGGGCGGGTCACAAAGAATATTTCCAACAGCTTTTATCAACCAACAACTGTCTTTTCTCTATACTGAAGATCAGATAACCGGAAAGAATCACCAACAAGGAACTATGGGAACAAACAAAGCAAGAACCAATCGCCCAACAAATATGCAGGAGAAAGTGGAAATGGATCGGACACTCGTTGAGGAGACCGCTGGGTGACATCGCATGCACGTCACGCCATTGCTCGAGTGGAACCCAAAAGGGAAGCGGCGTGTGGGACGTCCAAGGGTGACATGAAGGAGATTGTGTGAAGAGGAGTTGAAACAGTATGGACTAACATGGATGGATGGAGGTGAAAAGTACAGCAGAAGACAGAAGTGGCAAGTGGAGACGTGCAGTTGAAGTCCTATGTTCCACTAGGAACCCAAAGGAACAATAATAATAATCCATTCTTTTACTCTGCACTACTGGCAACTTCTATGACATTCGAAGAGATAATACTATATGTGCCTCTAATTTCACTTAGTGGATGACACTTGTTTGATATAATTAAGATAATTAATTAAGTCTGCTATGGAAATAAAGCGTTAGAATCAGTCGAATAGTGAGGAAAACATGTCTGCGTTTACATATTAAGTGAGTGAGTACATATTAGGAATTGAACGTTTAACAGTTTGCTTAAGCATGTTCCAAATACCTTGTGTTTGAAGAGTAGAGAGTTTTTATTAGTGTCATCCTCAAGCATGTGATCGACATGCAATAACTAATTAAGATTCATTGTGATTTGAAGGTAATGGTGATACACAGGAAACCGCGGTTACATTGTTTTTTTAAAAAGTTGAATGAATATCGGCTTAGATGACAAATTAATATCAATCAGAGAACTACTGAAAACCAAGAAGTATTAGATAGCTATCCAATCCTATCCTGCAGGATGCACCTTTGAATCCATTTAGAGTCGAACCCAGGAGTTTCAGTTAACAAGATAAGCTAGTCTTTTTAATTCGAGTGAATTTTTAATTTGGAAGGACTCAATTGATTTTTGGTCTCAAAGTTACTTGTTTTATGTTTTAATTTTATTGGCTGGAGGATTTCATCATGAACTGACATCAATTAGAGAACCATTGGAAAACCAGCTGGGAGTATTGAACAGCCGTTTCCTCCGTCCTAGTTTATTTAATTTCATCAGTTTCCACTCACTGTAATTAAATTGTTAAGCTTTAAACTTATTTTTTGAGAATCCTACCACCTTACTTCATCCACAAAATCGTTAATGTGTATTTGAACTGGAAAGTGTTATTCACATTTCTCTGATTTCTTCCCCCTTTTTGCCTAGTTACCAACCAATTTCTTTAAATCTTCTTTTCAAATAGATTGCTTTTTCGTAAAAAAAGTGACACAGTAATGAATACTGGTGAAGTCAAGGCATTTTTTCAGGAACAAGTAAATGAAAAGTTGCCGGTAAGTTGTTCATTTTTCGATCAGTTAACCTGCTTTCTTACAAATACTGTATAACTCCAGTTAATTTAAATATTTTAAAAGATGTGTGTCTCTTTCCAGTTCCTTGATTTCTATTGAATGGAAATGCCTAACCCTGTTATGTTGACATGCAGGCTAATAGTATGGACTCTTCGAAGATTTTTAAGGATCAGTTTGATGCCGTATTTTGACATCTGTATATTCAGATACATCCATCTGACGAGACCCAAATGGAATGAATTGAGTATTCTAGATTTCACTATTAATCATAACCAGTTATTATCCTGAAATATAATTATATTTTATTATTTATCCTTCACGTTCCCCAGTGGAACATAGGGATTCAAGCAGTGTTTAATTTAGAGGATGGGGTTGCTAGCTTTTTGACCAACCTTTCCTCTTTACCAGCATTATTTCTGGCTCAGCGAGGTAATGGAGTGCGTCTGTGGCCGGGGATCGAACCCTAGACCATGTGTATGGTCGGCGAGTATCCTAACCGATATACCACCGACGATCCTGAAATATAATAATAACGGAAAAACAAACAACTGAGCAGGAAATATCCTTTTCCATAATTTCCTCTTCTCGCTCTACAATTCTATATATTTTTGCATACATAGAATATTCTACAATAGTCGTCAATATTGGTGTTTTCTAAATACTATCGATTTGTTAATTAAAATCAATGGAATTGCAGTTTATTAAAGATGCATAAATTATAATAAACATAAAAATGTAATAGAAAACAAAATATGCAATAATATTACGGATATTTCCACAACAAACTGAAGATCATTGGAACCTAGATAGCCAAGGTAAGGACAATGTTTGAACTAGCTTATTTTGGACACATAAATTAGACTTCTTAATGTGGATCCCAACAGCCAGCCTCAGCAATATTTAGTAAACGAACTCTTAAGGCGAAGTTAGGATTTGTTAGTATACAGTGAATGACATTGAAAGCCTCGTTTACATCAATCTCGTGTTCTGTATCCACAAGATGAGATAGAATAGAGCTACGAATAGATTTTATTTGTCCTTCACTTAACCAGGAAGGCTGATGTTCGGATATCTGACGAGAAACACGCCTAATTGTGCGACCTGTGTAACTGGCTCCACATCAGCATTCAAAATGGTAGATCCACAGAGAACAGGCAAAATTAGGCAGTTTATCTTTTACTCCAAAACACAAAACAGGGATGCTTTTGAAGACACAGCGTAATTCAGCAACAGGAAATGCGTTGTGTTAATATCTCACTAATGTTATCCCTGAAGTACTGAAGTTGTAAGAATAAGGCCTTTTTCGGAAATGTTGGTGCCTTCGCCTGTTCTAATTTTTGACTCATATTCTTATCGATGAATGTTTCTGGATAACCGTTCTCACTCAGCAACCGTTTAATAATATTGACCTCTTCAATAAGACATTCATTAGAACAGATTTATCTTGCTCCGTCGACCAAGCACTTTATCAGATTGCGTTTTAAAACTGAAAAGTAGAATATGCATTGCAATGAAACAGTTTAGCTAAGTGTTGTGATAGAGTGTCTGTGGTTTGTTAGCTGATGTCTAGCTTCACTGGAGTAAACCTCAAGACAACTGATCACCTAAGAAGTATTACCAACACTGAGGTAGGCACAGAAGTTAAATCTGACTAAGACAACTTCGACAACAACTTTATTCTCTACATTATAGAGTTAATTATTCTTTACACACCAATGGAATTTAAAACCATAAATAGCCTAATATCTAAATTGATCGTATCATTCATGAATTCATGGCTAACAGTGATACTCAGTCCATCCTAACAATAAGCCTTCTTGAACTTATTGATTAAAAAACCATACGATATTTTGGAGCATTGAAATCAGTCAGTCGGAAGGTGTTGGTCAAGACAGGTTTCATGCTCACTAGTATTCGATAACGAAAGCAAATAAGCACATAAACCTAGGTTTCCGGTTTCCTGTTGATTACGTCTTATGATCCCGTAATGATGAGCCACCTATCTTGGTGAACACACTGCCAGCTTGACTGATAGAATTTAGTGCACTCTCTGAACTTAGGTTATGACAATATCCAATTTTTAATTCCTTTCCTACCTGACCTTTATCATGCTTCCATTTTTTATTTAGGTTTATACTTCTTGCTATTAGTAGTTAGCATAAGTTATATTTGTTGCTCCATCACCTTAACCTAATACATTTATTCCCCTTTATGAATTTGAATAAAACAAGAACAGTTTTTGCACAGAATAATAATATGGTACCATCATTGCTTATTTCATTGGCCTATCATCAGCTGCTTACAGACTAAATAAATTATTAAGTTTATGTATAGAAAAGTTTTAAAATGCTTGCAAATTTCACATGGTGTCAATTGACAGAAGGTTCTAGAATTTTTGAACAGTGCCCAGAAAATTACGCTTACATAGCATTTACACAAGGAATTCAAGTTTTAACAAAGTAAATGTGTGCATACAATGTTAGAGTTGCGTGATAAAAGTGAGAGATGAAAAAGATGATGCGTAAATATGAAATTGGGTAACAATATACTGAGTTTAACTCAAATCACAGAATGAAGTGACAAGCAAAATTACATTATATCAAAGGGGATGAGGTTAAAACCAACGAATACGTAATCAGGTGAGACAGGGAATATAGACATCCAGTTACCAGGGCAAGGAAAGACTGATGACTGCTTTATGAACACGTCATATCAGGTTTCAGGCGTTTGACAGAGATTGCTTCGGTCAACCTGAGAAGAGTTGAGGTGTTTTGTCTATTGATAATTTCAAAGAAATTTGCGATTTCCACCGGTTTCAAGTATATTCCTGATAATGTCACTGTTCTTTCAGTCCATAGCCTCCTGTCAACTGGCATTATTGAAAATTTGCAAGTATTTTAAAACTTTTCTGTGAATAAACTTAATAACTTATATAGTCTATTAGCAGCTGATGAGAAGCCAATGAAATAAGCAATGATGGTGAGATGGTAGCTGGCTGCTAGCCAAATTGGTGGGCAGTAATTTACGTCAATGTTTACGTCCCCAATATTGTTCGTGAGAAAAATATGAACAAAGACTGTGTAGGCGGATACAGTCAGCACATAGATGATCTGAGATTCAAGAAACAGCCACAAAGAGATGAAAGACTGACCTTCAATGAGAAACAACCAATCAGAAGACTGTGTTTGTCTGCTAACAATAATCTATAATAATGTACTTGAAAATCTATAAATATATGTCGATTTCCTTAGTAAACGATCTGTTGTCTGGCCCTTGTCTTCTCTTATTACAATGGTACCATGTTATCCTGCACAAACCACTGTTGTTCCTGCAGTATTCAAAAAACTATAACTGTTGCTTGTTATAGAAGTTTATCTCATTTAATATATTAATATTCATTTTGATATGGAGTTATTTTCTCATTTTTAACGGCATCTGCTGTATACCCCTCTCAGTTATACATTTTTTATTTGAATCCCTTTATTCTTAGTCTGGCATCTCACGTACTGTCTAATCTGACTGTTTCTCACCCTTGAAATAGCTCTGATGTCTTTCATATTGATGCACAATGACAGTGCATTTGAAGGCATTCAGACACAGACGCTCCACAGTTTGATGTTCGCATATTACATTTCATTACTTTTGTCTATTATAGCACCATGCTATGGATAAATCCTATGTTTTTGGATTTTACACGTCAGTCAATGTGTTTATAGCTAATTGGGATTACACAATTTTGAAATTTACACCAAACAAATTCAATGAACATCTTTTTTTTCCCCACTAGAACGTATACATCGTGAAACGTCTTATGAAACAAAGCGATATGAGAAGGCTTCAGATATTTTTTTTCTACTATTTTCATGCTAGTATTGTACGCTATGGATGACATACTTCGCACTAGGTCTGCAGTTAATCAATTGAGTCTTGACTAAAATTGGAATTCGAATATAGGTACAAACAATCTAAAAACTATTTAACTAACACAATGATGTGAACCAGTAGAATTTTTTAGTATGCATCCGAAAAAAAATCAGAACGGAGAGCTGAAGTTTGTATTCCATATGTTTCCATGTTTGTTGTAGCGGAACAGAGGTGTCAGCGCCACATTGACATAGAAATCTTATCCCTTATCTTCTTTTCCATTTCAATCTCTTTATCAGCACTGCAATTATCTTCTTGTTGTCTTTTTACTGACTCAGCACTCAACATTCCTAAATGCTATCTAGAAGCTTGGCCAAATAAATAGTAATAATAATTATTATTATTCATTGCTTGCATTCTGAGTAGAACTCAGGGATCCAGTGTCACATCTCCATTCCATTCGCTTCTCTGACATCACTTTTAACTGGCTTGACGACTGCCAAAAAGTTCTTGTATCCTCTCTACATAACCTCGTCCATATCAATCTGAGGTGCTTAAACCATCACCTTCCATCCGAGTTTCAATCAAGAGACTATCTTGCGTAAGGTGTCATTTGAAGGACTCCTCATAGGGTGTCCAATATATCATAACTTCAACATCCATATTCTTTTGCCAACGATTCTTGGTCGATTCTCTACCAAGGTCCGTTGTTGCTTTTCCCCTTTGATCAACCAACTGATTATCAATAGCTGGTGAAGGTAGCTGTTGGTTGAACGTCAGCAATAGCCTTTTGAAAATACCTCTGAATGAAGTATGCGGACGCGATGACTTGACATTAACGCTGGGAATTCAGATCTTTGGCTTTGTCGTAAATGTTGTAGATCTGCACACTGATTATAGAGTATTCAGGGCTTGTCTTGCTTTCCTGAACTGATCATGGTTTTTAGACATCCTAATTCGTGTCAACTGTGGCTGAAATTATGCCACTAGGTCAGGTAGGTGAATGAAGTGAATTTTTTCATATTCATTACAATGATCGTGGTTGTTGTTTGTTGTAAGCTTAGTATCATCATCATTACTGTCTTCATCTGAATTCCTGATTATACTGCTTCTTTTGACAATGAGTTGATCTTCGAATGTAAATCATTGATTTTATGCTACATGACTCAAATAATCCAGAAAATCCAAGTATTGGTTTGTAGGGATCTGATTGATTGGTTATAGAATTTCATCATGAGCTGACATTGGTTAGAAGGCCATTAGAAAACCAGCTGTGAGTGCCGGACCGCAGTTTCATCCTAGTTTGAGACTCCTCATCAGTGTGCACCCCCTGTAGGTCATGACCACTATGGTGCAGCTGGTCACATGTGAGGACAAATACTCGCCGAAGACATGGACTAGCGGTCTCTCTCTGTCGTGTATCTGCAGAAGTAGGAATCTATGGGCTGGCCATTGGATCGGGTCCCAGTGGCCTATTGGTCTACGAGCTGGCTCGCCTTGTAACCAGAAGGTCATGGGTCCGAACGACAGTGGTGGGTGAGTGCTGCTGAAGAGTCCCAAAGGAGATTGATGAAACAGCTGTCCAGTACTCTCACCTGGTTTTCCAATTATCCTACAGCAGTTCTCAGCTCACGATGAAACCTTGTAACCAATCCAGAAAATCGTCGAATTTCATCTTTAATTTAAATTATCATGTCCTTGCCATTTTCAGGCTTTCGTACTGTTTTATCACTATCTAAACTAGCGTTTCATTTCACACGTTTTAAATGTTTACGTATGCGATGCATTCTATTTTTCCCTCAAATAGGTAGCATATCGTTTGGAAATTAGGGTGTATGATTACGATTGGCATAATGAACCTGACCTGATTACCCATGCAGAGGGGATATTTCAGCCGAGTCCAGTAGTGACTACATTACATCAAATGTATTGGAATCACACAAATCCAAGTGAAAGTTTTCGGTAAGCCAGATAAGCCATACAATGACTTCAGTTTATATAACATTATCCATTCTCTATTAGATATGTTTTACTCGTCTTTTTATATTGCCTTTTGGATTATTCTCAGCACTGTCAACTTCTACTTCTCATTCTTCTTGTCAACTTTGTTCTTTACTACTTCTCCAGGAATTGTATTTAACAAACTACTTATATTTATTTAAAAGTAGCAGACATCCAACTTTTACAATACATCTTATTTGTGACCAATCTGATTACTAAATTATTGATCATTAATTAAATATTTAGGCGTATTTAATGTAAAAATGTTACAGAAGATCTGTAGCTCCGATAGATGCTTTCGGTGTTGTTATATTCTTCTAGTTTGGATGGTACATTTCGAAAACTTTCAGCGACAACATTACTGTGAAGATTCAAAATCAAAGCAAATAGCTCAAGGAAAATAGCAATTTAGAAAGTAAACGTACATTGATAATGCAAGTCAACAGACTTACACACAGACATACTTAGTCAGTATTGCGTAGTAAATGTTACTTACCAAAGAGTACTGTATATTGCTAAATTCTAAATGTATAAATTCAACTTCATTGACTTTTTAATAGGCCTTCGACACCGTCAATCGAGAGGTGATTTGGAAACTAATTCGCTACTACAGGGTGCCACCATCAATTACACATCTCATCCAACAGTTGTACGACAATGCTGCATGCCAAGTAATCCACGACCGTAAACTCACGGAATCCTTAGAAGTAAAAACGGGAGTAAGACAAGGCTTCCTATTATCTCCAATGATTTTCCTGATTGTGGTAGACTGGATAATGTGATTGACGCACAGCAGGCAGCGTAGAAACAAGTATAAATTGGACCCACACAAAAAATTGGAGGATCTGGACTTCACCAATGATATATCTGATCTCCCACAAACTGATTGATATGCAAGGGAAAAGCAATAAGTTGATAGAAGAAGCATCCGGAGAAGATAAGACTTCAGGTGAACATAGAGAAAACAGAGGTGATGAAGATTCCTGGCCAACAGTAACAGCAACAACAACAACAGACCACAATCAGCATAACCAGGAAGGAGTCTGAAAGAAGCAACCTCCTTCACCAACCCACCTGGAAAGCATCGATTCAACTACAGGCGGAACTAACGAGGATATCAAAACAGCGAGGATCGGGAAAGCAAGGCAAGCATTGATTTCTCTCAAGTCTGTGTGGAGGTCAACTGCACTCAGCGTGAAAAATAAGATTTGGGTTTTCAACTTCAATGTGAAGTCAGTGCTACTTACTGTAAGGATCAAAGACTTGGTACATCACGAAGAGCACTTCGAACAGACTGCACACCTCCATTAACAACTGTCTTTGCTCAATACTCAAGATCAGATGGCTGGCCAGAAAAGATCAGCAACAGGGATGTTTGGCAATGAGCCAACCAACCCAGCAGGAACCGATTATGCAACAAATGTGCAGGAAGAAATAGAGGTGGATTGGACTGGCCATACTCTAAGAAAACAAACCATCAAGTGAGTGACATCACGCTCCAGGCCATCTCTTGAGTGGAACCCGAAAGGGAAGCGGCGAGTTGGTCGTCAGTGCGTGAATGACATGGAGGAAGTGATGTGGCGCTAGGTGAAAACGTTGACAGAGAACTAAACGCAATGGAGAGGTGCGGCTGAAGCCCTATATTCCTCTAAGAATTAAAGGAAACAATAATAACAATCAATTCACTAAGGAAACTGAAGCAATTTTAGCAAATGTATTGCAAGCTGGCAGAAGAAGCAGCAAAGAAAGCACTTCAAGTGTACATAGAGAAGAAAATGATGATGAAGATAAGAAACTAACAACAGTCAACAATAATGACTATCAATGGAGGGAATCAGGCAGACATACACACACACACCAACCTACCATTATAACTGAGCCATTTTCATAAAGTGTCATTAGATCTCACCCGCTGATTTCTGTCAATGAATTATTTTGAATATTCATTTCTCTAAACAACAATAATATAATAAAGAAAAGTAATACATCACTTTGTTGCGTCTTTTTATTCTAGGTTAAGCGCAACTATAAAAATGAGATGCAACCCAAATTATTACGGGATCGGATGTGATGTATTTTGTAAGCCTAATTCATGGGTATACAAGTGTGATATTAATGGAACTAAACTCTGTGTCGATGGTGAGATTTGTTTTGCGTTTCTCATGTTGTCGTTTTTTCCACTGGTTATTTTCCATTTTCGTTTCTTCATTCATGAAAAATTCCCATTGTAACAGACAGAAAATCAAAACAATTGATTCATCGAAGAGACTCTTTCCAACGAATTTATTATCAAACTGTACAGTCGTATATACATGGCTTTTAAGAAATTATATCCTGTGAGGGAATTAAATCATAAGTGCTAATACATAAAATAATAATAGTAGTAGTAGTAGTAGTAGTATGAAATGCAATTAAAATGTTTGTGATTATAATCACAGTTAAGCGTCAAGTCACGGAATATACACATTTGATCATAAGGAGTGAAGGAAATTTTCTTTTCGACGAAGTTATCAACTATGCTGTACATTCGTGTATTTATAATAAGTGAGTGGGAAAGTTCCAGAATAATTCCCAGTCAAGGGTCAAATTAATAAAATTACAATTAGGAATTAAAATACCATAATAAAACAGGGGGAACGGATACTACTTAAACAAAGTAGCATCATTATTACTGAGAATATTGACATATTGTGAAATTAAGGGTAAGAAATGTAAAAATAACAAAATAGACAGGACGGTTGGATAAAAAATTCAGTAGGATCATAACTAATGTGACGAATAAGTGTTTGTGCGATTAGGGATTATATATGTAGAAATAATAAAATGACAAAATAGACAGAAAGTTCGGATATGAAAATATGGTAGTGTAAATAGGGACTAAGAAAGACTTCAAAATAACATGAATAAACAGGAAGTTTGGAGAAGAAAGGTAATGGGATGATCACTATTGAAAGAATTATCTGTTCATGATGGCCATGGCAGGGACAGGGGTTGGATGTATTTCTTTTGGATACATAGAGTAGATTTGAGTTCTTGGATGGCTAATGCCTCGGCCATTCCTAGATGTCTTGATTTTACTCCTTTTGATAGGTTTGATCGAATCTTATATATTATTTTGAAGGACTTTTTGAATGGTGCTGAATGTCTTGAACTGACCAGATGTTCTGTCACTGAATTATATACACGTTTTGATCAAGTGGCGAAACAATTGATGTCATATACAGAATAATTCAGAGAGTGTTTAGAACTTGGAAGGGGTGTGCAATTATGGGATAACTAGGCCAGTGGACTAAAATAAAAAAATAAAAATAAAAAAGCACTCTGCAATTTGATTACACAAAGTTTGATCAAGTGTTGGTTTGTAAGGATTTGATTGGTTACAGGATTTCATCATGAGCTGACATTGGTAGGAGAACCATTGGAAAATTAATTTAATTTAATGTTGCGAAACAGAATTGATTTAGAATGACAGGTGGAACGACTGAAATAATACAGGAGACAGCTTAAAGTAAGAAAAGTATTGGTAACAAACGACGTAATAAAGGAAGAGCATACAAAGGGAATAGACAAAACAAAAAAGTGGTAAAGCCAAAATATAATTAGGGATTAACATACTTAAGCATAGAGGGATTAAAACCATGAAAGTTGGAGGGTTTGAAGGAACTTTTTCTATATACAGAGATCTGGCTTTTATATTTCGATAGTCAAGGCTTCAGCGATACAGATGAGGCATATACGTGGTGATTTGGGCAAATAACTTTTCGCCTTGTAGATAACTTTAAAGGCGGGGGCTGTAGAGATAGGGTGGTCATTATCAACCACGTGTTCAACGATTACGCTTCTTATTGCTCCACTTCCACCTCTTCGTAACCAGTCAGCATAATGTTCCTGTACCCTCTTGGACAAAACTCCAGTCGAACGACCGACATACCTAGCTCCACACGAACAACTGAATCCTAAAACAATGGAGATTAAGATCCACTGACTTTATAGCTATACTGAACTCTGCCATCTGAAGTAACACCTTGATACGTCTTTAATAAATCAATTTAAATCCACTGATTTTGTTTATTTCACTCGTTGTACTGCTTCACTAACTTTGAAATTCTTTGAAAGTTGAGTGTATATATGATATTCTTGTGGATACATTTGAAGATTAATATGAATGGAACTTAACTACTGCTCATAGTGATAATTTTATTATATAACTCTCATATCTTGTGAGTAGAATGCATAGCTCTATCTCCCTCTGATATCAGTATACTAGTAATGCTTCCATGTTATTCTTAGTAATAAGATGGAATAGTGTTTCAATACTCCTAATGTTGTTTAATTTGATTGATTTTCAAGTACTGGTTTTGTTGGGATTTTTTTGTTAGATTGGCTGGAAGATTTCATCATGAACTGATATCAGTTAGAGGACCATTGGAAAACCAGATGAGATAACTGGACAGCTGTTTCGTCAGTTTGGTCTGAGACTTTTCATCAGTACGCACCCACTACTGCGGTTCGGATCCATGACCGTCTGGTTACAAGGCGAGCCAGCTCGTAGACCAATAGGCCACTGGGACCCAATCCAATGGTCAGCCTATGAATTCTAACATCTGCCAATTCATGACATAGTGCGACCACTTCGCAGTGTCTTCTTTGATGAGTTACTCCCTCACCTTCAACGTGCTGTACCCTACTGGTTAATTGAGTCGATTCTTTACTATTTCACATTTAGAAAACCTCATGCAATTCCTCCGATTAGTAAACTTGAACCATGTAAGAACAACATGTGCCTACCAGGATATAATATAAGCTCATCTTTTACTAATTCGAGGATTCCTCTCAACTAGCTACAACCTGAGTAGTAAATACAAAAGTATAAATTACAATAAAGACTTGAACATTTGAGCTTTTATGAGATTACAGAGAATAACTGTTAGGAACCAAGAGTAACATAAGTCTGGTATGATATCGATTGTTATACTACTTACATTTAAAAGGACTGACGATTTTCAGGATAATTAGACTAATTCTCTTGAGAAGAAAGTTTAAAATCTTGGGTAGAAATGAAGTTTCACTAGATTGAGTAAGACAACATAATAGGTTACGCGACTACAGAAAATGTTTGTATAAAATGTTCTGAACAGCACAGAAAATATAAAGGAATACATGGCGTAATAGATTTATATACTTTTTAGTGTAAGTTCAATCACCACGGTAGTTAGAGATTCACCACTATCTTCTGTATACGCAAATCTGGCTTTAATCTTCTGACGGTAATGATCTCAGCAAAACACAAATAGTTAGGTTTCTTTTGACTGATTAATTTGAACGCCTTCAGATTATCCACAATATGACCACTTTCCCATAGATGGACTGAAATCTCACTGTTTCGTTCCTGTCAGCCTTTTAATCCCAGATTCTTTGATATATGTTCGGAATTATGGACAGAGACCCTCCACTCAGTTCTTCCAGTGAATACTCTTTAGCACTTATATGTAGACTGACAGACACAGATGGAAACAACATGAGGGAAAGATATGTCCACTTTCGATCGTCTTCAGAAACTGGTTGTTTGATAAACAAATACAAGCTAAATGGCTGGATATGTTGTTTTTAGGACAGAGATCAGTTTGCATTTTATTCTACTGGCAATATCATCAAGTTTGAAGATAAGCTGTAGAAGGATGAACCTTTACTCTACTATGTGGTAGTTCACTTTTTCAAAACCACGTTTTCCATGTTCGTCAATGAAGTTCTGTGGGTAACCATTATCACAATGGCGTTTTCCCATAGCAAATAGAACTACCTCAGCCTTTTCTTTCAAGCAAAGCTTTCTTACGCGATAAAACAACATTTTAATCAATCCTCTTTTATACTTGATGTTACCGTCGATTAGTATGGCTATATGTAATATAAAGAAGGTAATCTCTCTGATCTAAGTTTTCGAAATATATTACTATTTTGGGATCGATACTTCTGAATTGCACCAAGTAACTTCATTTAAACGTGGCAAATATTAATCAATCGAAATGTGAAGTAATTAGCCCTATGAGTAACTCTGTAATTTTCCTTTTAGTGTCTATGTATTCTAGACGAAAAATTATGAGTCAAATTCGTGAAATAAACTGCACATCAATGCTAATGTGTTAATGTAGTACATCAAAAAATTTTCTTCACTGAATCACGAGCTTTCTTTTTATCTGCAAGTCTTAACGAGAAAACAGTGAATGAATTCCATGAAGTCTTCATCATCCAAGATATAAGGGAGAAGATATACAGCTCACATGGATTACTTTAATGTACTTGCGTCTTCTGAGCTGGATGGTTTATTTGAGAAGTTTCCATTGTCTTACTAGACAACATGCTCAACGCATTCTCCAATTTGAAGTCAGCTTTATAAGTCGCCTCTCCTGGTAAAATTGAAAGTGATTGATTATTTTTAGGTATCTTCTCATCCTCCATAACAAAACAGGCAGAACAGAACAAAACGCTCTTAATTAACTCAAGGGAGTTTTTGGTCAGCTATCCAGTAGAACTCAAAGATCGGTTCCTTGCATTCAGACAACAACACGTCAGTTTTGGTCGTTACATGAGTAGCCTGATATGTATAATGACTCTGTGTAGAATAAGGTAAAGGCATTGCAGTTCAAGTCATATATAACATAAAAGACTCAACTACTGTAAAGAGAGAATAAAGTAGCCTGAGCTACATGCACCAGATAACTGGTTGTTAATATGAAAATGTAAGCTCAGTGACATCGATGAGATTATGGGTGCGTGTTGCTGAAAGAGTCCCAAACTCGCACAAAACACCTGTACAGCACTCCTTAGTTTTCAGTGGTTCTCTAACTGCTATTAGTCCATAGTGAAATTTGAAACTAATCAAATCCCTACAAATTACCGCTTGGAAGATAAAAGTCAAAAAAAATTCGGAAATAAACTCTGGCACTCAACCAGTAAAATATTCCATGTATCTTAATATGCAATTCAATGCAACTACTCATCTCAGTCAACCAGTAGTATATTATGTCATGCATTTGTACTTGGTTTCTTGATTACTACCATTTATGGTAATGTAATCTGAATAATAAAGGAAACTATGGGGGGAATTTCACCTCCTTGAACTGTGTTAAATGAGAATGAGTTCGAAAATTGCTAATCTGATTTCATTGAAAGGCTACCCACTCATTATTCCACTTGACTACAGTCCACTCATAAATACTGACTTGTTACTAATGTTGCTCAAGAGGCAGACATTTGCAGCAAACGGGATGTGAAAGACCTATTCGTTGACTGGTGGTTACTGTGGCGTGAAGCAAGTAATTCGATATCGGCTATTTGTTAATAAGGATAAATGCATTCATTTGCCAGTCGGTGCATAAATCTTGAGAATAACGTGCCATTATATCTTAAGTTTGCTGAAGCCATTTCCATCAAGCGCATGAAACCTGATTTATGCGTCCAGAAAGAAGCGGTTATCATCCTTTCTTTGCCCTGGTAACTGGATAATTTCACCTCTCTTTCCTCCGAATGTGAAATAATAAATTACTCGAAATTATGTATTACTGCTTTTGATTTCACACTGATATGTGTAAATATGCTGTGAATTGGTCTATGTCATTTAGGCATATAGATTCCATAAATGAGTGAATTAATATTACTACAATTACTAGCTGATAACTACTAGTAGAAAGCAGAACGTATATATTTCATGCAATCAAAACTCTTTGGGTCTCAGTGAAGTAATACCACGCATTTAGGAGCATGCACAACCAATTGACAAGGCATGCATAGGATGAAACACCTGGCTTGGAGTCTACGGTTAGCTGCCACCAAATAATCAAATACATTAGGCTGTTAAGAATAATTAAATGTATCTTACCCTTCATTACAGTAAATCTTCTTTGTCTGCACATGTGAATCTCTAAATTTTATCCCTTTTTAGGTAGATATGGAGATGATTGTGAATTTTTCGACTACTGTAAATTTTATCCGTGTCCTAAGTATGCACGTTGTAAGAACCTGCCAAAAGAATATTATCGTCGCTGCATGTGTAAGAATTTTGAAGGTAAGTGATTAAATAATGATTACAAGTCAATGAATAGCCTTTCCATCTCTTCTTATGACCAGTTTACTATGTTAGATGATTTGAGGCAACCGCTACGAAGCCCTGTTTTTGTTCGCACTCATCACTCAGCAATGCATTTCAGAAACCTTGAAGAAACTAATATACCTTTTGAGATTTGAACCCGTTTCACCCAATGCTGCAGTCAGAGATTTTGTCAATGAGTTATTTGGCCTCACGACTCACCTCATTTAAGACTGTTTTGGACACTTTGATTTGACACTAGGTGGTAACTAATGCCATGTGTGTATTCCTTTGTTTGGTGCATACCGAATTTTATCAGCCAAGTTTGCAACGTCCCTTCAAAGTATCCATTAGAGTCCTTCAGCTGGTAAGTTGTAAGCCCGAATACCCCAGCGGTAATTTTTCTGACTGAAGCACAGGGTGACACCAGTTGGATCTCAGAAGGGATATACATTCTTTCAAGGTTTCGAACAAGCTTTGCTGACGACTGCCAACAAGCATGGAACCTAGCTACAAGGCTTCTTGTTAATTGCTTCCAATCATCTAATAACAGCAGTTCAGGGTGCACCGCGGTGATGAGCCACTTAGCATGATGGCTGCCTGCTTGGCAGTCATCAAATCAAATGCTGTAAAAAATATGGTTAAGGTTTATGGGTATAATTTGATCGGTAATAAGTATTATAATATGCAGAAGATGAGTGGTGTTTCATTTACCATCGATACTTAATATCCTACTCACAGAAAAACTATGGGAGTGTTTTTAGATACGTAATGGTGATTAACATGCTCTTGATTAGTTAATGATATCTGATCCAACTGAGTTAGCCCTGAAATGGCGATATCCTGTAGTTTAGTAACCAGCAGGCAGGTGGTCCGAAATCTACAGCAACTCAACTCTTCCTTTTGATCTTCACTCTTTGCAGATAAAATCAATGTGTGTTTAACAATCCAAACTGTTTCACGAATAACTGCCTTATTTTGCGACTCCTTAAAATACTTCAGTTTACAGGATGATCATGTCATTCACTACATACTGAATACAAATGAATTAATCTCGTCATTTTCACTCACTCAGATTCATATTAGTATCTTCTGTAGTCAGCATCACTGGGAATCCCTTATTCTTGACTTCCAAATATGTTATTTGGTTTTAATCCAATCATCTACTATACTAATGGTGTTTACATAGCATATGTCTTGTCAGATGGTTAAATATGAATTACCATGCTAGGGGATCATTGTAAGCCAACACTTATTCGATGGGCATCAGTAAGGGAGGATAGCATTTCCTATTGTTTCTTTTAGTAGATTAAGACAAGTGAGTATTCTTAACATAGTAATATCTTTGTTAGTTTTTCAGATCATTACTCGGACTACATTGTATCCATAGGCTATCAGAGAGACTGACAGTTATTCAAAACACCTAGTGCAATTATCTGCTTTTTGAATCGACTTACCGTCTAATCATACAGTTTACTTGTTGTGGGTCCTATGAATATTTCCTTGAAGAACACTTTGATTACTTGTTGTGTTCAATGTAAAGTCAAATCTTATTTGCACTCTGTGTTCCATACATGAAATTGCTGTGAATGTGGTGGGAGCTGTCTGCTAGCCAAAATCGGTAGACAGCAATTTACATCGATGTTTACGTCCCAAATCGGGGTCATGAGAGAAAAAACAAGAACAAAGACTAACTCAACAACCAATAACTGAAGACTTTGCGTGGGTGGATACGATTAGCAGATATATGATCTGACCTTCAAAGAAACGGCAACAAAGAGATAATAGAATAACTTTCAGCAAAAAAACAACCAATCAGAAGATGCTGTTTCTCTGCTAATAATAATGTACATAAAAATATATAAATATTTGTTGATTTCCTCAATAAACGATCTATTGCGCGGCTCTTATTTTCTGTCGTTACATGAACACCTCTAATTTACATGAACCATTCAACTTCATCCAAGAGTATAACAAATTCCGAAGAATTCTAATTGGACTCAAAGAATTTATTTAGCAGTATAAAGCAAATATTTCAAATTGGTTACGTCTTAGTCACAAATTGACATATCTGCAGGGGAAATCAGTTTTCAAGGGGTTGCAGATACACGTTTTCGATGAATATCAATCAGCATGAGATCAAGATCAAAAGTTTATCGTCTCCAATCAGCTTCTTGAGCTAAGAAAAAAATGAGTGAAATATTTGGTAGTATTAGTCACAAACAAGCAAAACAATCAGTCATCTGGTATTTAGATCCCTTTGATCCAATGAAGCTTTCATTATCCATTTAAACATTTCTAAGGATAACTTTACAACTGATTGTATAATAGAACTAGCAACTTTGGTGTACTATTCTGTTTTATTTAACTTGTCATTACATTATTATTATTATTATTATCTTCACTTGTATATAGGTGACGGGTGTTTCACTTATTATTCATGTGACAGATCACCATGTAAAAATGGCGGTCAATGTGCCCTATTAAAGGACATTGTTGAATTTGATAATAATGAAAGACAACAGAAAAGTGTTTTGGGTGATTCGACCAGGGTAGATGACTATTCTGATAATGAAGATGATGAAACTGTCTGTATTTGTCCGGATAACTGGAAAGGACAGTTTTGTACAGAACCTGTTGTCGATTGTACAACAGACAGTAGGGAATACCGAAACACCTTAAAACAACGTACTACTCAATCATGTTTAAACGGTGGCGTTTGTATTATTCATCCGGGTAATTCAAGCGCTCGATGCTCTTGTCCACCTGAATGGGAAGGTTATTTTTGTGAAGCAAGCAAGGTAAGTGAATATACTACATTTTGTTGTCTATAAAAAAATTAATGAAGTTAACACTGTTCCACTTTATTGGGCTGGCATAATGCCTACTAGAAGAGACACTTTTTTAAAGCTAATAATAATGGAAATGCTAACAGGATAGAAATAAGCTAAGCAATAAGAAGACGCAATTTATCTGAATCGTGTAATGTATCTGCCAAACACATTTCGAACAAACCGATCACGCACGGCCTTGTCATAGGAATGAATATACATGAAATTAATAAATATTTTGTTCTGAATTAATAAAGAGTTAAGAGGTGAGAAAATAGATTTAGGTCAAGTTAAAAGGATATATTGAAGGTGAAAATAATAATGAAGATCACTAAACTAAATAACAGAGGTAATAGTACAACTGCTCTGACTGGTATCAAAACAAAGTTTACCAAGGAAGGAAGGTTTAGTTGTGATGACGAATTGTTGCTTTGATCTCATAAAGGTGGTTTAAACCTCCTAATTGCCAGCTGGAGCTTCCACAAACTTTAGGATACGCTCCAAACACGTTTAATAGATAGGTTTAAAAGATGTGTTAACATCATTTTTATATCCTGTCTCCATAATATGCTTCGCAATAGAGGAGCTAGTTATCCTGTTCTCACCATTAATGGGTTCTGAAGCATATTCCTAAACGGCTCCAGAAACAAATACAATCTTCCTTAGTAAACTTTGTTTTGATACCAGTCAGGGCAGTTGTACTATTGTGGTGCGAGCAGGCTGCTACCAAAATTAGTAGACATTAATTTACGTCAGCGTGTATGTCCCAAATATTGGTCGTGAGAAAATATGAACAAAGACTGATTCAGCAAACAACCACAGCACACTTGGCGTGGACGGATACAGTTAACATATAGATGATCTGACATTCAAGAAGCACCCAAAAAGGGATGCAAGGTTAACATTCAGTGAGAAACGACCATTCAGAAGACTGTGTTTGTTTGCTTGAATAGGCTATTATAATGTACATGAAAATCGATAAATACGTGTTGATTTCCTTAATAAACGATCTGTTGCCTGGCCCTTGTCTTCTGTTGTTACACTATTACCTCTGTTATTTGGTTTAGTGATCTTCATTGTTATTTTCACCTTCAATATGTCCTCTTAACTTGACTTAAGTCTATTTTCTCACCTCTTAACTCTTTATTAGTTCCATATATTGATGGCAGTAAAACGTTTGAGCGTTGTGTAATAGATCAAATAAAGTATAATTATATTTCAATGGTTTACACACAATGATAAGTTTTGTTATTGGTAATATTTCGAGCAAAATTACAGCCCGTGTTCACACCACTGTCGGAATATAATTCTGAAAAGACAGGAATGAATGAACAAAAACTGAACTGTATATATGAGTAGAAATCATAAATGTGTGAACAAAACAATTCCAACAGAGGTGTGAACACGGGCAGTAATTTTGCTCGAAATATGACCAAGAACAAAACTTATCATTGTGTGTAAACCATTGAAATATAATTATACTTTATTCGAGTTTCATATATATTCCTATGACAAGTCCGTATGTGATCAGATTGTTCGAAATGTGTTGCGTAAATACATTACACGATTCAGACAAGTTACGTTTTCTTATTGCTTTGTCTAAATTCAAAAAGGGAACTAATTGTTTCAAATAAATAAACTAATATTAAACATTGTAAAGCTAGTAACATTGTGCCATCAACTGGGCATGTTTGTCGTTAGATTTCTGAATGTTATCCTAATGTAGGTAAGCCATGGACGAACAAACTCTATTCACAACTCTATTTTAGCTCATCTTGTTGACAGTGAAAACAAAATCGATGTTGGCATAGCATTCCAACTGTTCTCAATTTTGCCTTACGCATTCATCTTTTATGGTAAACGTAAAGAATGCATACCAAAGCCCACTGACCTTGAACTGAACAATCATATTTTTCCATGTGAAACATGGCATTTTAGTACAAAAATTAAGTTCATAAGATATATATATATATACATTTAAAAATGAATTTTATAGTGTATGCCCCTAATATACTACAAGAACAAGTCCCAATTTGTAATAGGTGTGGTTATAGACATAAGCCATTCTAATCCGTTTTTTGATATGCTTAAAATCCTTTAATAGAATTGGTATGTGTACCAGTTTTAGGATTCATTAATCCTGATAAACCATTGGCTTTATCATGAATCTATCCTGATGATGATAGCCACAATGTTCAGTATTTCAAATGCATTCTATCTATAATATTCGTTGCAAGTTTCAACCTAACCTTTACCGTAACCCTACCCTTACCCCTACCCTAACCCTAATCTACACCTAACCATACTTTAGTCTAATCCTAACCTTACACTAACCTCAACCGTAACCTTAACCCTAAATCAGGGTGTAACTTAGAATGAAGACTGTGAAAAGCATTCTTTTGTAATGTTGAACCATCTGATTGGTTGGTTCAAATTCATTTGAATGTGGTATCTATTCTTTACTCTTGCCTCTTTTACATGTAACTGAAACCGTTGGTAGCTATTTAAGAAGCCTAACTTGTGCGTTTGAAAGAATTTCACTCAGACACTTCTTCTACATTGGCCATCGGTGAATATACCCATACAGACAGTAGACAGAAAAGAACAACTAGTTCAACAAAGATATCCTTGCTGATATTCCTTCCTTTCTAATGTCTTTAACTGTAGCATAGCTTTTTCTTAATTTTTTCCGATATTGAATTTAGTATTATATAATTCCATGCTTTTAATCACGTAGACATCTTTTGAGCTGTAATTCCAGTGACCCTTACAACTCAATATTTTCAACGTGTAGATTTACTCACTGACCAGCATCAGTCAGCGAATCACGGAAAATTAAGAGGTACAAGATAGTTGTTATTATCTTATCTGAAATAATTCTAGCCTCCCACCCACTCATGATTGCGTTTACCATGGATGCCCATAAGTTTTAGTTGTAAAGGCTGATCAATGAAGTCAGATATTCAGATGATGTGGAATCTAATATGTCGAGGTAGATGCGTATGCTCATCAATATCACTGTTTAATCATGATAAGATATCACAAATTGACAGAAGTTAGAACCTCTCTATAGTTTGGTTTGTAAGGGTTAGCTATGTTTTTACGAGTTGATCACGGATTGATATCAGTTAGAGAACCATTGAAAACCACGGAGTACTGGACACCCAGCTGTTTCATCCTAGTTTTGGAATCATGGGAAGTACGCACCCACCACCAGGGTTTGAATCCAGGATCTTCCGGTTACAACGCAAGCTCGTATACCACTCAGCCACTGGGACCCGATTCAATGGCTCATGCATTCTAACTTCTACCAATTTGTGATTTAGCGCGACCTTGACCATTTTCGTTGGTGGGACATCCATCCACACACGTGACATCTAATTGGAACTCACTGGTCCATGAGCCATTGAATTGGGTCCCAGTGGCTGAATGGTATACGAGCCAGCTTGCCTTGTAACCGGAAGGTCCCGGGTTCGAATCTCAGTGAGTGCGTACTTCCGATGATTCTCAAACTAGGATGAAACAGCTGTACAGAACTCCCTGGTTTTCAATGGTTCTCTAACTGATATCAATCCGTAACCAACTCGTAAGAAGTTAGAACTCGTGGATTTCAAACCACGGCTTCAAAATTCAACCCCTAGTGAGGATATATGTGCATACATCCAGAGAGTTACAAATGATTATCTGGTGCTCATAAGTTTCCAGTGATTCTTTAACCGATGTCGGTTAGTGACTAAATCCACAATATTGTTATCATTTCATTTAATTCATCCATTAAAGGCAGAAGAAAATTAGGGGAAGCGAAATAAAACAGTTCATTGTCTTCAGTAACTTTAAAAGATCCTTAACTTAGCTTCATGATATCGCCCTGTAACCAGTAATGATTAGTTGTAGAATTCATTTAAACACTAACTTTCCATCTTGAAAAACTTACCTATAAGGTTTACGGATAGTATGAAATGCAAGGTGAGCATAGCGTGTTTATGCATATGGTCCACCTTCAAGGTTAGAGGATTCTTATCAGTTACAGCCTTCCAGTGATACCGCACGCCAGACAATCTAACGAAATCCAGATAGAAAGTGAAGAGTTGAGTGACCTAGTATCGCATGGAGATAATCACCCAAAGAGGAAATGGAAGCTTCTGGAATGTTATGGAACCGGTTGATAGTGATATCAAATAACAGAGAACAGTAATGGTATGACACTTAAGGATTATATATTCCACTCAGAACTGAAGTAATTAGTAGTAATACAGAAATAATTTTTCGTTTTATTGGGCAGGGTAATTTAATTGCGAAGCTTATCACTGAAAATACCGCGGAAAATGTAGCCTATTAGAACAACAAAAGTTTCACAAGTAAATCATTCACCTCAGAAAACATTACGATAAATTAAATTTATAATCTGTAAAGTGCTAACCAATTTGCAAATTATGAATCTGATTCACGGCATGACCAGTTCGACCAGGTAGCTAGCCGGAAATTGGATGCTTTGAACTGATTCGGTTGTCTAAGGTGGGTCAAACCGAACAAATCACTGACGATCTTGACCTCAAACAAGCGAAACAGCCATTCGTCGTTTAGAACACCTCGATCTGGTTAGCAAACACTGCTGGTTGATTTAAGCGTGATGGAACTACTCATCTCAATCAGTCAGTATTATTTAGTTTTACGCGAGAACACTACGATATCAGAAACATCAACCTTAGCTGAGAAATCTCCTCCAGAGCTACTAACTACCATTTATTTTCTTTAATACGAATGGAATTGCATCAGGTGGTACAATTCCTAACTGTTTGTATGCTATTTAGGCAAGTGTTCACCTCCTGTTAAGTCGAGAATAATTTGGAGCAAAGGTTTAGTATGGTAGAAAATTAAATACAATAGTCCGGAAATGACTTATTCCAACTTTCCCGCGGTCTTTTGATTTATACTAATGAATAGAATTATATTCTCAGATAACTAATGGTTAATTCGTAAAGTTTAAAAACAATGTTTTAGCTGGAATCCAACTTGGTGGACCTCGCCAGTCACGACCTCCTATTAGAAATTCATGTTGCTTCATCCTGTAGTCACCAGTTACTGTTGAGCACCAGATTAATTTCCAAGAGTTGGTTTGCAGAGACTAGATTTGTAATCTGAAGGTCATGGGTTCGATCTCCTGTGAGGTTATTGGTGTGCACTGACTATGAGTTCCAAACTAGAACGAAACAGCTGTTCATTACTCCCTGGTTTTCAATGTTTCTCCATCAATCCGAAATCGAAAGTGAGCGAGACCAAACCCCTGCAAACTAAATCTTGAAAATCAATCAGTTGCTCACTAATAAATGACTACAGGACGAAGCTCCCTGAATTTTAAGTGAAAAATCATGAACAACAGGATCCATCAAGTTTGGTGTCAGGTAGAATCCTCACTGATGGCACTGGCTGGTGCTAAAATTGAGAGTCGATAGAAGTTAGAACTTATGGGCCTTTGGATTATGGCCAAAATGACTCAATAATCAATGAGCTTGACCTCGAAACCGGTAGGTCATGAGTTACATCCCTAGTGGAGTCGCGAGTGAGAAATATGGAAGAGTACAAGACTAGGACGAAACAACTGTTCACTACTTTCAGGCTTCTAATGGTTATCTGAATGACATCATTCTATAATCAAACATTAAATATTATGTTGATGGGTTAATCTATCCTTAATTTTAGGAATGGTCTATTGGCAAGAAGTTTGGAGTGGCATTTGGCGTTATTTTTATCATATTTTTCATTCTATCCGTTGCATTCTTAACATGGTTGTGTTGCTTATCAAGGTGAGTAATTGTCTGTAACCTTATCATTCTAATCAACTAAAAATTCACGCCTAATTTATTCTATCTATAAGCTGAAAAGTCAGTCATTATACTCATGTAAGGCTATATCAGACAATCTCACTAACAACTGATACCTAGCTTACCCAATGCTTAAAAGTTAAGGCCTAGAATTGACAAGAAAAGACCTAAGTGAGCAGCCAATGTGATGAATAAGCAGTTATGTTGCACGCATTTAAACAACACCTTTACATATACCTTATTGAATGAAGTGAAATGGAATCAGGAATAGTAGATGAGTCTCGTAAATCCGCATAACGTAGGCTCCGTTTTTCATCAAGGGCATCTGTTTCACTTCATCTGAACCCATTAAGTCACACTGTGAAATAGTCGAGAAGGATTGTAACTATGAGTGTGATTATTAGCTGCTCCTATGACCGTTATAAGACTGCATTAAAAATAAAACTACAATGATAATCGTAGGCTACTCAAAAAAATCAGTTGACGATTCCCGCTAGCATAAAAACCAACATTTTACTATTGTATCTTCAGAATTGGACATTTTTGTTTGAAAGAACAGGTTTGCCTTTGGCGGGTAATTTTGAAAGTCAATCTTGCTACAACAACAACAGTGTACAACCTATATTTCGCCTACGTAATTCAGTAGTAGAATGCTCACTAAATACACACGTGGTCTGAGGTTCGATCTCTGGCCGACACATTGCTACACCTCGTTTAGTCGGTAGAGTCCAGTAAAGAGGGAAGGTTGGGAGACCCCATCGATTAAATAGGAATAACAGCACTGATACTGAAACTTCTAAGCTAAAAGCGTGAAATCCTGTGTTACTCCCGGAATGCAAAGGAATAATATGAAAATAAAATAGCAGAGAAAGTAAAAACAAAATATGAAGTCATCAGTGTTTTACACATATTTTCGACAGTAATAACACAAACAAACCAATAGAAACCGTTTGGAAAAAGAACTGACTGACATGTCTTTGGTTACAGGATTTCATCATGGGCTGACATTAGTTAGAGAACCATTGGAAAAAACGCACGGAGTACTGGACAGCTGTTTGGTTCTAGTTTGGGACTCCTCATCAGTACGCACTCATCGCCAGGTTTCGAACCCAGGACCTTCTGGTTACTAGGTTAGCATTTAGACAATTAAGCCACTGAGACCCGATCCAATGGCCCATGAATTCTAACTTCTGCCAATTCACGATACTGCGCTACCCCTGACAATGTCTTCTGCAAGTATTTGTCCTCACACCCGACCTGCTTCATCCTACTGGTCAGGACTTCTCACTGGAACCCCAAGTAGCTACCTACCTGAATAGGGTCAGTCTCCAGTGAACATCTCATTGATATCCAGGTATTGGTTTGTGGATTTATTAGATGAGATTTATTAGACGTTATGGAAGCGTCAACCATATAGCTTTACCAATGCAATCAGTTTCCAAAAAAGATGTTTACATATCCTTGCCGTTCAGAGGTGATCAACAAAGTCTAGTCACTAGACAAAGACTAAAGGCCGCAATTAATAGAACCTATTATGCAGCTAAATTTTTCTTCATAGAGAAAACGAGAACTATGCTGTCCTGTAAACCCTCACATTATCCAAACGATAGTGTCACATCCCACTGTGTTTATCAATTTATATGTATGTGTGGAGACACGTACATAGGGAGGACCCATCGGTCTCTGCATGTTAGGACTACAAAGCACATTCCAAAGTGGCTGCAACAACAAATGAAAACGCCAGATACAACTGACCCCGGAAATAGATGTCCAACATCATCTATAGCGAAGCATATTATAGAGACGGGTCATAAGGTTGATTTTAACAATGCCTTTAAGCCGATATATAAGACAAGGTTGGGTCACATACTTAAGTTCATTGAAGCCTTAGCCATTAAAAGACTTAAACCTGCCTTATGCGTCCAAAAGTTATTTGTTATCGCCTTAAACCTGCCTTGGTAATCCAACTTAGAACCAAGGACCAATTTACTTCATAATGTTTTCAAACACTTTCTTTGCCTTTTTTTCCTCTCTTTATCTTTCTTACCCACACCTTTTGCGTCTCCCTACCCATTATTTGTGACCTTGACCTGTACACAATCTGACCTGTATTGTAATTATTCATGCTTTCTTGCCTTATATAAAAACTGTGTATGACAAATACGTGTGTGATCAGAATGTCTGAAATGTGTTGCGCCAATACATTACACGTTTCAGATAAACTATGTCTTCTTATTGTTTTGTCGAAATTCATAAAGGGAACCAATTGCTTTAAATTAATGATATTAATTTCTTTTTTTTTCTTCAGACCTCCGAAAGTCCCAAAACGACAACGACAACCATATCCAGCAATAACCTATACACCAGATTACCCCTACATTCATACAAAAGGTCTTAGGACAAATACTGATATTCAGTCCAAAGTATTTATGCGACCTAATGAAGTTCTTCAGAATGGAATGGCTCATCATGAATCAACCGACTTAAACACATTTGGCAAACCGACTAGTTCAACAGCAAATCCCTTGAAAATGCAAAATGATTATGAAATTCCATTTGAGATAGAAGGCATAAACCATGATAAAATGATTGATCGAGTTGAATTCGACAACAGTAGATATAAGCCGAATGAAACACTAGCTGAATCGAATTCAATGTACAGTGATGAGAATATTTACGTAAATTATAATGATTTAATGTTGCAAAGACAACGAGACAATTTATCATGCGATTCAAAGTCATATTTCAATTAATTCAAACAATATATTGTGTGTGAATGAACTTGCCTCTAGAGAATTGTTAACGAGGAAACGAAACGTCATAACATTTATTTATGTAACTCATGATATATATATATATATATATATATATATATATATAATTTGATACGACTTTTTTATCTTCTCAATTATTTACCTCTGGTCTTCTGTATCTGACCTTATACTATACTAAATAAAGGAGGGTTATTGTGTCTGTGGCTGTCGACTAACTTGACTAGAATGCACCTCCTCCAGGAATCACATTATAACTAACTGATCACTTGAAAATATTCCCCACACTGAGATAAACAGAGAAGTCAGATTCCACTTTGATGACAGCGATAACCTTTTATTATTCGAAATACAGAGTTTATGTAGTTTAAAAGTTCTCAAAAATTCTCGCCAAAAATAAGTGAGTCAAAAGGTGTCCAATCAGGTTGCCACGTCGGTACATGCACCAATCATTATTCCATGGGTAACAAGTATTGATTCTTTGTCCTAACAACTATGCTATGCAGAAATCTTATAAGAGGGAGTTGTGAATTAAAGCCATTCTTTAAATATGCCTCGAGATTCACAATTATTATTATTATCGTTCCCTTCCGTCCTAAGGGAAACATAGGGCTTCACCTGCACATCCTTACTTGCTTCTGTCTTCTGCTGTACTTTTCACCTGCATCCATGTTAGTCCATACTGTTTCAACTCCTCTTCACACCATCTCCTCCATGTCACCCTTGCACCGATGACCCACTCACCGCTTCCCTTTCGGGTTCCACTTGAGCAATGGCCTGACGCGCGATGTCACCCAGCGGCCTCCTAAGCGAGTGTCCAATCCATCTCCACTTTCTCTTGCATATTTGTTGGTTGGAGATTGGTCCTTGTTTTGTTTGTTTGTTCCCATAGTTTCTTGTTGGTGATTCTTTCCAGCCCGGCCATCTGATCTTCAATATAGAGCCAGCGAAGACAGTTGTTGATAAATGTCTTCAACAGGCTGTTGGAAATATTCTTTGTGACCCGCCCGCCAAGTTTCTCATCCGTATAGAAGAACTGACTTGACATTGTTTGTATTGAAGATCCGACCGAATTTTGTTGTTGATGGTGAGTGACGAAGATTTCCAGATTGGTTTCAGGTTGATGAATGTGTTTCTCGCCTTCCCTATTCTCGCTCGATTTGACATCCTCGTCCGTTCCGATTGCCTGTAGTTGAGACAATGCTCCCTAGATAAGTGAGTGAATGAAGTAACCTCTTTCAAATCCGTCCCGTCGATGGTGATTGGCGCTGGATGTTGCTGTTGTTGTTGTTGGTTGGTTGGTTATTTTCATAACCTCCGTCTTGTCTATGTTCACCTGGAGTCCTGTCTTCGCCGGCTGCTTCTTCGACCAGTTTGTCAGTTTTCGCCTGTATGTCTTCGATTTTGTGTGACATCAAACATAAATCATCCACGCGCGAAATCCAAGTCTTCTATGGCTTGAGATCAGCTAGAAAACTAGCGAGCTAGTAATCTAGGCAAGGTTTGAGATCCACAATAAAAGCTGTCATAATGATTCTAGATATTCTGGCACTGGTAGTTCACTGGGAATTAAGTGTATCAGGAGTTAATAACAGATTTTTTTATTACAGCTTGATTCCACACCGTATTTTTTCGGTATAGGCATGGAATTTTCAGAATGTGATATCGCTAGCCCAAATTTTACAGGCCGACCATAGATATCAGGTGTGCGTTGGCAGGGAATCGAACTTCGGACCATATGCATGGTCGGCGAGAGTCCTAACCACTGTGCAACCGATGCACAACCTGAAGAGTGATAAATATTGTCTACTAATAGCTTGATTTTGTCAGAAACTGACTTTAAATGTAGGAGGCATTGAAAACGTCAAGATATCAGATAATTTCAATTTTCATTTGAACATTTTCTACTACCTTTCACCAGTGATCCAATGAACAGGAGATCTCAAAGATTTATCAGTGGGATACTGATATTGAACGTTATCGGATGTGAGTTAGAATCCTGGTAAGACTTCCAGTTCCAGTTTTATTTCTAGTTGCCAGTTTACAACACACAATTTCATAACTCACTGCAGATGACAAGAGTTGACACTATGAAAGTTGAGAAAGTTGTCTCCCTCGTATCTTAAACAAGACACAGTGCCTGAGTTAGTTGTCACGAGAGGATTCTGCTAGTTGATTAGAGTTCTAATGACATATACTTTTTGAGTTCATCAGTTTAATTGGAAGTACTAGATGGATTTTGCACCAAATCTTTATTGAAACGAAGTGAATACTAATCGGTTCAACGTGTAGCAGTAGGTAATTCCCCAGAATTATTAGCCACAGCACTCGTCCTTGAACATTGGATGCTGACACTCACTGTTTTATTCGACCTGTTTAGCTGAAGGCTTACAGTCAAACATCCACGCCATTCGGTACGCTGTTGAGTTACGTTTGTTCGTTCGCGCACGATCCCTAGCTAGTTAAGCAATCATCTTGCACTCCGATTTGATCCCAAAATATAACTTGTGTGTTGGACAATCAGTTCTGCTGTTTTGCTTTGCCTTTGGTCTACGCGGAACGAATACGATAAAAATTGTGGATATTAGATCTTACGTTAGTATACTTCATACTATCCGTGATCGTCAAGACACTTAGCCTCTAAAAACGCTTATATATAACATCTACTGAAGAGTTGTTGAATGGTTGGAAGAAGTCAGTAGAAAGCTCTGAACCTAGGTGTTTGTTTCTGATGCTAATTCGTACTTATTAGAAAGGTATATATATATATATAATGTAAGCGATATTATTACGCTCTTGAAATTCGAACGCCATTTTACCCACTGAAGTAATTTGAGAAATGACACTGCCTGAATGGAATTGAGTACCGTTAAAAAACAAAGATTGTGAATTAAGAAGACTCGGGAGAATATATTAACAATAGCAGTCATCTTAAGTACACAAACAGCCTATTCACTTAACAAAGTGCTGAAAAAGGATCACAAAATCTCATGGTACTTTTTGTCACCAACAGAGTCAGTAGTTAGTAGAAACTAAAAAGAATTGTAAATTTACTCCTTTTACGCTCACTCTTCTTCATAAATGCTTGATCCATATTCAAACTTTGGATTTCACGATTTCATAAAATTTCTGCTAAGTAGTTCTAAATTAAGATGAGGCAAACATCCTGTTATATTTGCTTCCCAAAGTTTCTGTTGCTCACATCAACATGTGGTGAACACCTGAACTTACGTTATTCTTCTGTTGGTTGAAGATAGAATGAATCACGGAGACATGATCACTGGAATACAATTTACTCTCGTTTCTTTATTCTCTATCAGTTGTTAAAAGAGTAAAGTGTGCTCATGACAATCAAGGAATCGATTCTGCATTCAACCAATCAACCAATCCCAAGGGATTATTGTAAACGAATTATTAACCAAACGTTTGAATTTCGTGAAAAATTCCAAATACAGGATTTATCTAAAGTACGATACTGTGTTCTACACAAAATAATGAAATATAATATAGAAAACTCAAAGTATGAAGTGTCTGTGGCTGAATCTCATCAGATGCACAGCCACAGTGTTTAAATAAGAAAAAACATAAGAGCTGTGTCATCGGTTGGCAAATACTCAGATCAAACAACGCGCGAACGCTAAATAAATAGTAGTGGGATTAGGATAAACAGTGTTAAGCAGAGAAAAGTATAAAAAAAGAAAGCACAAACAGCAGATGCAGCGTCGATAGCACAGTGTTAGAATGCCCGCCAACTCTGCATGTGGTTCGGAGTTCCATCCCTGACCGACGACGCGCTCCTTTACTTCTCTAGGCCAGTAATAAGACTGGTAAAGAGGGAAGGTTAGGCATGAAACCAGCAACCCCGTCCCGTGAAAATAAACACCACTGACACTGAGAATTCAAGCCTTTAGCTTGAGGCCCCCTTTTGTTCCACTGGGAACGTAAACGAATAAAACAACATATACAGCAGATATCTTTTAAATATAAGATGATCATTACCATATATCAAACTGAATATTAATACAGTTAGCCAAATTTAAATAACAAAGGCAGTTATGTTTGTTATTTTTGCTGTTGCTTTCAGTTCCAGTTGGAAAATAAGGCTTTAACATAACATCTCCACTTTACTTCGTCCTCTACAGTCTTCTTTAGCCGGCCACACGACTGCACATAGGCTTTCATCTTTTCTTCGCATGATATTCTCCATTTGTTATGTACCTGTCGTCAATGGATATGATAGCGTCGACAGCTGACTGGCGTGTACTGTTGCGTGGGTATAATAACACTGACACACTGAACAACTCAACTGATATTTTTTATACGTCTATTCGTCCGTGGTACCTTTCGCTTCACTGAGCCACGTAAATATCAAAACTGGCCTGTGACCATTAGGATACAATTTTACTAAGAAAAACACGTCATACTTAAATATTTTTAATCACATTGAAATAGGACCAGGACAGAGGAAACAGACTTTTCTGATTGGCTGGCGACTTTACCAAGACCAAGATTAGGAAAAGATGATGAAACTTTACACTCATCCAATCACACGATGAGTCACATGACAAATAATGCAATGATTACTGTTTTAAGCCAGTTCTTATCACCATGTCACCCACGGCCTAACGCCCAACAGGCCGTTTATCATTCGGGTTCCACTCGAGCGATGGCCTCGTGCGATATGTCATTCGATGGTCTCTTTGGTGTGTGACAAACCCGCCTCCAATTTCTTCTGCATATTTGTTGAGCGATAGATTCCCGGTTGGTTTCGTCCCATAGTTTCTTGCTACTCATTCATTCTGGCCATCCAAAATGAAGCAAGCAAAGGAATCATCTGCTGACAAAAGTCTGAAATAGCCCGTTCGAAATCCTTCTGGTGATGTGCGCACCGAGTTTCTCACCCACATACGAGCACTAAATGCGTTATCATTTCTGTTGGAAGTCCAAAACTTGTTCCTTATGCTGAGTGCAGAAGATTTCAAAACTGTTTTTGGAGTGATGAAGGTTTATGCTGCATTTCTGGTTCTAGTTTTGATGGTACGGTCTGTAGTTGAAACGATGCTTCCTGGATAAGTGGAAGAAGTGACATCTTTCAAGATTCTTCCGTTGATAGTAATTGGTGCTTATCGCTGTTGTTGATGGTCAGTTATTTTCATCACTTTCATCATCTCTATGCTCAACCTGGAGTCCTGTCTTCGATGCTTCTTCTGCCATTTTGTTGGTTTTCGCCTATAATTCTCCGTGTTTGTGTGGAATTAAACCCAAATCATCCACACGCGAAATCCAGATCTTTTAGAATCTTCTGATCGGTCTGGCATATTTGTGTCTTCTCACTCCTCATATATGGTGTGCATAATCCAGTCCACCACAATTAGGAATATCATCGGTGATACTAGGCAGGTAACCTTGTTTCACTCTTGTATTTACTTCAGACGCCTCACTGAGTTTTCTTTCGTGAAGATGATAATAAGAATACGTCTTTTCACATTCCTCTACAAATAATCATTTAACACTACTGTCCAAATATGAACTGTGTCAGCTATCTGTATTGATACACGATAATAATTCCGAAACTCTTTACAATGGAATTTACATATTTAGCCGAGACAATAAGAGCTTTGACTTCCGTTACCTTATGTAAATATCATGTTACGCACTTCGATGACCCATTTTCACCAGTTACGAAGGGTGGTTCAAAACATTAGTTCCTTGCTTCATGAAGACGAAATATTAAATCACAGAAAGTTATACTGCAATTAATGCAATAAAAACACTAGCCACATGAATACATATACATGCATAAATATTGATTTTCATTTCAAACAATCAATCAATATTTAAGCGACAGTGATGACAATGATAATATGACCTAGACGTGATACGGTCTTTCTATATAAACAATAATATGCCTAAACATCATCAAAAGTAAGTATTTGAGAAGGATATTCTCTCTTCTTCTTTCTTCCCTCCCCACCTCTTCACCTCTACTCATAGATGTACAAGAAAAAATCGTCGAACAATCAAATCTGCATCAAAAAGAATAAAACCATTGAAACATTCAAAAAATGATCTGAAATCAGTTAAATTGTCAACATTTTCATCATTACCGACGACTGATAGGCAACATCAACAACAATGTGACACCTTGTCATCGAATTTAACAGTTAATAATAAACAATTACAGCATCATTGTAATTATGAATTAAGTAATCTTTTGGCTAAAAAGCTTTATTTATCTGTAACAAATAACCAGTCGCCTAGAAAGAAATTCAAATATCAAAGTATATTTTCAAAATGGACATTGAATCCGATTGATTTGTCATTGGCTGAAAAATCAACCAATAAGAAATTGGCAACAACTACAACGACAAATCCATCAAATCAATTGCATAAATTAAAACATAAACGATTCAGTGTTTCACATAAACATCATCATTATAAGTTAACAAAAGCGAAGAATGAATTTCAGCATACAGATGATACTGATTATTATATAATTAATTATCGTCAACCAAAACTATTGGAACAATTGAATGACGCATGCAATTTTAGTGATACAATTATCACAGCGGGTGAAGTGAATTCAGCTAAAATAAAGTTAGTTGTTTATTGTTCTGAATACCTAATAACCTTGGATCGGTGGATACTTAATGTCATTTAAAACTGTTAAAAACTTGACTAATGGATTACAGGATACTTTGATTCTGCCTAGATGTCATGAGACATGTTTAGCTGCTGTTTAAGGAATGGACAACAGGTACGCAGGACCTTATATGAAGAAGAAGAAGAATTTTTCCTTCACGTTCCCATTTGAACATAGGGCTTCAAGCTAGTGGCTTGAAGTTTCGGTAGCAGTGTTTTTTTTTATGGGATGGGGTTGCTAGCCTCATACCTAACCTTTCCTCTTTACCAGCATTATTTCTGGCTTAGCGAGGTAAAGGGGTGCGTCGGTCGGGGATCGAACCCCGGACCATGTGCATGGTCGGCGAGCGTCCTAACCGCTGTGCCACCGACGCACCGGACCTCATCACAAAAATGCTGAATAGGCCAAGACAGACTTTGAAATACCCCTCCAATGTAATTTAAATAATCAGGATTATGTTTCACTAACATCTAGTTTCACTGTGTACCAAAGAATTTGTGTACTTCATGAATATCATCATCAGAGAAGTGTCTGTTTTGGTGAATGTACAGTGTAACATAGATACGATAAATAGGAATCGAAACCAATCAATATTTAAAGACTGATTGCAAATCTTTCCTCAAATTGTGATTATTCTTTTAGCTTCTGATTGAAACTTAGGGCTCCAAAAAACATATCCATTGTTTCCTGTTTTAGGCATCGTTTTTACTTGACCCCACGACCGTCCATAAGGTCTCATCTCCTCTTCAGTACAAAATCTTTTCCTTTTCACCTTCCAACTCCCGACGCATCTTTTCCCATTTGGGTACCACTTGGGGCCTGATTGGTGCGTAATATCACTCACTGGCCTCCTCAGCATGTGTATGAAGGACCTCCGTTTCCATCAAAATACTTTTTGAGATATGGATTCTTGATTGGTTCGCTTGTTATCAGAGTTCCCTATTGCTAATCCTTCCCAACGGGCCATCAGATCTAGGATATGAAGCCAGTGAAGTCAGATGTTGATGAAAGTCTGAAGTCTGTTTAAAATTCTTTACGTGATGAACGTGCTAAGTCTATTAACCACATAGAAGAACGGACTAACTTCATATTGATCTTGGGAATCAGTATCATGTTCCTTATACTTGGTACTGTAGATTTTCATACTGATTTAAAAATAATGAATATCTGTCTTGCTTTGCCGAACCTGGCTTTGACATTCTCATCCATGACGCCTGTAGTTGGAACAATGCTGCCCAAATAAATCAAAAAGAGGCCGCTTCTTTTAGATTTCTTCCACTGATAATGAGTGGTACTTCTTGATGTTCACCACCTCTGTTTTCCGTATGTTCACTTGAACTCCTGTCTCCGCTGTGTGCCACTCCTCCCAACTTGTTAGTTTTTACCTATACATCTTTGAGTTAGTATGACACTGGACGTAAATCGTTTATGACGTTCAAATATTTTACAGTCTTCTTGTCAGTTCAAAGTATTTCTGTCTTCTCGTTCCCCGTGGTCGTTTGCATGAACCAATGCGCCACATTCAGGGGCTATAATTGGTGATAGTAGGCAGCTTTGTCCTACTCTTGTCCTCCCTTCAAAGGCTTCTCTGAGTTTTCTTTTTTGAATCACTAGACATGTGATATCATCACAGGAGCGTTTGATTAGACTGATGAAGGTTTGGGAAAATCCTCAGTATCTCTCCCAAAATGCTACCGCATATTCATAACTGAATGGCTTTTTGTATTGTTTGAACGGAAAGAGAAACCTTCAGTGATTGATATTATGATTTCCTTAGGTAATCCCGTAGTCTTATCAAATGCAGCTTCACTTTCTCTAACTTGTCCGTTCTTATTTTATTACTTTAAGGTGTATGATTCTATAACAGTGATTGAAGAGCATAAGACAACTCTATAAGCGTTAAAAGAGTTTTGACAATTACTAACGGCTTCATATGAAAAACTGTTATGCTGAGTACTTAGAATCAAGCTGGGCGGTACCAAGAAAACAAGGTGATATTATCGCTATCTATTTTACTCCTTCGCCTTCTGAGTAGAACACAGAACTTTAAGGTTTGAAATTTAAATTTCAATAGCAGTGGCGTCTTTTACAAGGTGAGAATGCCAGTTTCATGCACAATCTTTCCACTTTGCCAGGCTTACTACCAGCTAGGCGAGGTTTAGGAGTACGTCCACTAGGGATCAAACCTAGGAATACATGCGTGGTTGGAAAGCATTCTATCGCTTCCCCACTGACGAGGGTGATAAAAGGATTGACTGATGAATGAATTAGTGTCGAACTTTGTATATAAGTGCATTGGTTACAAAAACGCATGCCTTAAACAAAATCAGACAAGAGTGACAAAATAATATTAAAATGGTAAAATATTTAATAAAGTAGAAATAATGAAATGAGGAATTCTGAATGTGTTCAGAACTTCGATGATGATATGATACAACTATAAGTGGTTTTGAGACATTTGACTGACGTTGTACAATCTCGCCCAGATAAACCGCATCTTCATACTTACTGACTTGATGGATTTTTGTTACGGTTTAGTCTGACAAGCACACCTTTCTAACCTTACTTCAGTTGATTTAATATGGCGATAAAGACAGTAACGAAGGGTACCTAACACGTGTTCTATGCGCCTTAGATGAAAAGGCTTTAGTAATCTATCCACTGACTTTCTCATCCTGCATAATACTCTCGGCCTAAACTCACTATCAACTATCATTTTGCATGATCAAATGTGAGTGACTGAACGAAAACCCTTAAACTTTCTTTATCTTCTGTCTTTAGAGGCCATATTTCACAACCACAGGACAAGATAAATAACTATGCATTACAAATAATGTCTAATGAATAACCAAATATATCAGCTATGTCAAACATAGATGACGTTAGCCCCTACCAAATAAGCTTTTCCTTTTGCCAGTGACATTTCATTAGAGTCCAGTTCATCAGGACCGATACATTTCTTGAATAAATAAAGTTTTCAACACATTCGACCACTCCAATGATCTATTTTTCAACATGTCATCTATCCACACAACTCCTTTGTCATCATCTTACAATTGACAAATGTAAACCAATGCTGAAAACACTCAGATATTTACTCATGACATTCTGAAAGCTCTGCATTTTTTAGGCCTTTTCAGTCAAATATGCGGGAAAAATAGCTTCAGTGTGTCTGCATAATCTCAAAGTGTAATAAATTTAGTGTATTCCTCTCACATATTACAAATAAATTACGGAAGACTAAGTTACATGATCGAACATAAATTATAGTGGTGCTTTCGCTTTCACTCTTTGGTGTCACAAGTAATGTCAGTGTCTTCGATGATCCGCTTGTGAATTTATGAGCGCACACATACATCTCAATAGATGATGTAAACTATTAACTGATACAAGTACTTGAGGACCTCAAACAGAACTCAGCATCGAAGTCTAGATGAATTAATTACCTCTTAACCGTTGTAGTTCCTAGTACCTGAGCTCACTATGGCTGTTCTCGAATTTATTCAACTTCTGCTGACGTTTTACAGTTTACCTGGATGAGCTTGAAGTAAGCTGGATATATTCAGTTGCTTTCAAGTAACACTGCAATCACTAAGCTTTTTACTCAGCTTTCAAGTTTGTTAGTGACATTAGACCAGTTGTTTGAAACTATCAGTTTGGTTTCCCATCTTATTTGCATTTTATTTCTTTTTTCTTGCCTTCAAACTGTTCCAGTTTACTGAACATGCAACTGTTCTGAAATGCTTTTGGTTTACGTAATATCTTTATTATTTTAAAACAAACACGTGTTTCCGTCGAATTCATCTCTAAACTCTGAATATATATGTGTGAACATTATTCAGATAGCAAAAATAGTCAGTATTAATTTACTACTCCAATAAGCCAACCGACGACGGAAATCCAATCAGTTACCTCCATGTCAGCAGCCTGTCACTTTATTCACTCATTTTAAGCAAAAGTAGGCATTTTTCCGATTTCCGGTTTCCGGCGGTTTGCTTCGTTCATTGTTAACCAACTGCGTGATAAACCTCTTGGATGTGTGTGACAGGCTAAATGTACCAAGCTGGATCTAAGAAAGGATATTCGCTGATTATGACAAATAGTATTGGTACTTAGTTAGCAGTGAACATGCTTCTGAGGTTCAGCGGAAGAATTATCGCTAACTTTATTTAGTTTACTAACCTACAGTAATCTCTGAAAGTTACGTCAGCAACTCGACTTCGGAGACAAAACACCGTTTCTACTGAAACTTCAAATCTTGAGTCCCTATTTCCTATTTTGGAAGCATGGGATTTATAAAGAAGTCCATACTGCCTAAACAGCAATATGATGGCCTCATAACATGATGGTCTTGGCTTCAGTCTCTGATGAAATAACTAACGTACAGTACTGAAGACTCCCGAACTAGCATGGAGCAGTTTAGTGGTACACCCTACTTTGCAGTGGTCTTCAAAGTGGTGTTGGCTTGAGATAGAACTTTTACTTTCAAAGTATTTATCATTTTCGTCAGATCAAAATCAAATCCAGTAGATTCAAAAACTGAAGATGGGGAAAAGAATGAGACAGCTGTTGTCTTAATAGACAGTTAGAGAATGGCATGTTAGTATGAAATGAAAATCTGTTCTACGAAAGAATCCAAGCCATAGACATCTCATTTTTTGTTATATTTGTATGAGTTCTGATGAACTCAGTATTCTCAAACTCTCTGCACTAATGCAAAAGTCTTAATTGGTATTCACCAAATTGCATCATTTTTGGCATATATTCATCAAAGGATGTAGGCATTGTGAAAAGTTACTCTTCATGCCGCCGCACTTCGATGAGATGTTGTCCCTAAAGGAGAAAGATATGAATAAGTTAGCAGTTTTTGACCATGTATGAATGATTGCAAAGTCTTTCATTGGGTGAAGTAATATGAAGATAGACACAGAATATATGCTTATCTCAATGAGCA